TACTAACTTATGCTATACAATTTTTATTCTCCCTTTTTCTGACGTGTTCTCCCAACTTTGAAATAATCACTCAATTTATAGATTTCTAGATTTTCGAGGAACACCGTGAGAATCCTTTTGACTAATACTTCTTTTAACTTGTTAGGGCCCGTTTGGTATGTTCTCGTTTCTCGTTTTTCGTGATGTTTTCATTCCCTCTCATTGGAAATGAGGAACCCATGTTATCTTTGAAATAATCGCTCAATTATAGATTTCCAGATTTTCACTCCCTCTAATTGTTTCTATATTTTGTGATGTTTTTAAATTTAATTCTCTGCAACAAATGGGGTAAATATTTCTATACCTTTTTTGTGGCTTTTTCGGTGGGAAGGAAATCAGATAATCGCTAACTTGAGCATAGCTCAACTGGTTAAGGTATATATCTTCGATATTTGAATTCTCACCTCCACTAATAAATAAATAAATAATCTTTTCACGGAAAAAAAGAGACTATAGATAGTTCTTGTGTGGTCTCTAGTAGGGGTGGATTGAAGAAAGAAGGCTGCCCCTATCGGTTTGTCTTAGATTAAAAAAAAAAAAGTTAATAATTTAAAGTTTTCTCCCTCATTTGTCTCCAAGTTTTAGAATTTGAAAGATTATATATAAAAAGCTTTTGCCCCTCTTTGGTAAAAAATTTCTAGCTCAGCTTAGCTCATTAATCTCCAGCGTGAGATTACACCACTCTTTTGATAACCAAGATTGGAAGGTTTCTCTGGTAAAAATATATAGAGTACAATATACTTTTGGTTTTTGAAATTTGAGGTTGGTATCTATTTGGTCCGTAAAATTCCAAAAGTAACACTTTACATTCTTAAGTTTGAAAAGTTGTTCTAAATGGTTGGGGGCTGGAGGAGATGAAGGAAAGGAGGGAGAAAAAAGAAAACAGTGCCAACGCATCAAAATTAATATAATTTTCTATATTAGCGATGCCACGTCGTCATCTTTCTATTAGTCAAACTAATGGTCGAATGAGCTCAAGAACCATTTAAAATCATTTTTCAAACTTTAGTCCCATGTGTTACTTTCAGATCTTTAGGGATCAAATAGATGTCAATCTCAAATTTCATGGATCAAAAGTGCACCTTTTAATAATTTTTAATAATACTTACAATGGATCTGAATGTTGTGCTTTAGGAAGAGAAACTAAAGGACAAGCCTGGATATGAGCATCTTAATGAGCCATTGCATCTGTTGGTTGAGGCAGAATTCCCCGAGGATACAATAAACTCACGCTTGGATAATGCAGTGGCAGTTTTAGAAAGCCTTTTGAAGCCTGTGGTATGAACAAAAAAAACCCCTCATGTCATTCCTTTCTATGAAGTATTCTGAAGTTTCTGTTATTTCAGGATGAATTGCTAGATCAATACAAGAAGCAACAACTTAGAGAACTGGCATTACTAAATGGCACCCTAAGGGAGGAAAGTCCGAGTATGAGCCCGAGCATGTCCCCGTTTAACAGCACGGGGCTCAAACGGGCCAAGACGGGAAGGTAGGGGAGCAACTTCTGGATGACGAGCTTCACCGACACTCTGTTCGATCCATGGAAGCTGTTTTCTCCATCATCGAACGGCAAAGTTAATTCCGAGAGCTTTTGCTGTCTTCTTCACCATCATGCTCAATTGGCCAAGAGTTTTGCTGATTTTGCTCTCATAAATCTGATGGCCTATGCTGTTTGACTGACGACTTATTTCCTTAATATGGGAAGGAGGGGAGAGCCCTCCCCATTTGAACATTATTTCATTTTTTTTCCCTAAAGTAGTTATTTGATTTAGGTTAAATTATAAATTTAGTCCCTAAACTTTTAGTCTTTAAATTTTAAATCAATTACAGTTCTAAATGATTCTATGTAGGTTTTGATATTGACCTTGTTGATTATATGTGATGTGGTTTACTTTCTAGATACGACAGATAGCAAAAGAAAGTGAGTAGCTATGTACGAATACTATTTTTTAGAAGCAACCAACTATTGAGAAATGCAACATACTCATTTTGAATTTTTTTTTTACATCGTTTTACTTTATTTTATTCAATTATTCACTTTTATAATATGTACACCATAGTGTTAATAATCTTAAAGTTTACAATGTGATTATAAAAAGAGATATATTAAAAATTTTAAAAAATAAGTGGATCTAATTAACAAAGTTAATTTGTATCTTTGATTTATTGGCTCAAAATGCATGCCAATATATAATTGTAGTTATCGTAATATGTTTTATGCTTGATATCGCGAGTGAAATGGACTAATGATAGTAATGTTGATAAATTTGAGAGATTTTAAATATTATCTTGAGGTAAACACAAATATTAACAATAACAATTTTTCACTTAATTAAAAAGCGTTAAACGCTGGTTTACTTTAAATACTTCTTTAAGAATGTTTCTAAAAGTATTCATCAACATCGACATTTCCGGCTAACAATTTAAAAAAAAAAAAAAAATTGAAACCACCACATACTAATTTGATACATCTTTACAGAAAAGAACAATATTTGAAGCCTTAATCAAAACCCTTCATCAACAAACTTGTTATATGACAATTGACATGAATTATACAAACCTGAACTCATTCATATCCTTCAAGCGCTTCTTACAAAATGGTATTTTACCTCCATCAGATAAAATGATTCTTTATAATATGGGAGGAGTTACAAGGTTATGGCTGCCCCAAGATTTTTCTTTTTTAACAAAAAAAATCAAGAAAAATATTCTAACCTTACAGCAAACTATCATCACCTCACCATCTTTAGACATTTGAGATGCAATAATTCCAACATAATGGTTTCTAAGCCTGTGTAAGAAGTCAGCAGAATATTGGGTCATATGAGAAACTTCAGATCAAGGAATATGGTCAATTATAAGATAACAGTAAGTCTTTGATGATAACATACAACTTTGGACAGAAAAACAAACAAAAGGAAGACAAGTTGGGGCTGTTTTTTTTATGCCCGTGTTTATTCAGTTATTTTGTCATTTTTCTTAATGAAAAGTTCCATTTCTCATAAAATACATACTGTCCCCTAACTTACAAGGGAAGCAAAAAAGTAAAAAAGACAGCTCACTACTACTGAATATAGATGCAAAACAACCTAAAAAAAAACTCATCATATTGAGATATGAAGCTAATAAATCAGGTCTAAAAGCTTAAAGAAGTCTATAAAGCAAAATGGCAGCCAGAGCATCAAATCATGAAGTCATTGAAAAAGTATATAACTAGACCAGCTTTTGTCGTTGTCGCAATATCGTCTTCTATATACATGTCACCTGCACCTATGCCTGGGAAAATATCTAGCTAGCACACTCAAGTTTACCTCAAACTCGAATGCATACACGCCTCGATGTGCCTTGGGGATTTCAGCAATTTTTGCTTGAAGAATTTTGACACCCTGTGGCCTACTCTCTTCATGGCTTGCATATAAACACCCTTCTTTGGGCCTTTTCTTTACCTTCATTATTTTTATTTTGTCGATATATATGCATATATCTATTATCCATCATTTACTTTTCTTTTTCTGTTTTATCCTTTTGTCAATTTTGTAGCACCTATAGTTTCCCTAGGTTGTAACAGGTTGCTAGTGCTAACTCGATGCCTGTTAATGCTTGGTGGAGGTTGCAGTAAGTTGAAACTTACTAGAAACTGTTTAACATCTATTAGCAACCTATTTGATTCCTACCCATACGCTATGCTACAAACTGTTGGCATGGAACAGCTCTTCTGGACATCCCTTCAAATGACATGCCAAACTTTTGTGGGAAAGTATGGATGGAGGGCTATCACGTGATCTTTTCTAATACTTTAAAAGTTGGAGAAGACAATGCGGGAGATCATAAAAAATTTAACAGCTCCTTGTCAAGTTCTCTGAGTTACTTTGTAATTTTTTACATTCATGAGTATCTTGATTAGCTTGTGCACATCTCAACTCATCTCACAAAACAACCACATGACTTTGATGCATTTAGTTGCCAGAGAAATGATCAAGGATTTTTAAATCCTAGGCTAATGACCACTATGATTTTCTCTCATTTCCTTTTGAGCCCTTTTTATTAACACCTTTTGGTAGAACTTTTTGTAATGCTTTTGGCAGTGCTTAACTTGACGCCTTATCTCTCAATCTATGTACTTTTCCTATTAATGAAATATCTCCTACATAGAAAAGCATCCATACAGTCAAAATAGTTATTTTCTAATGAATATTACTTGAAAGTTTATAGAGATATAATGTCTTGTCTTACTCAGTACACCTCACCGAGTACCTTATGCTTAGGATCTAAGGGAGCTCTTTACTTCTAAAAATACCATGTTAGGATTTTCCACTTCCAATACAAGAGTATTCAATTGAAAGTTGTAAGTTCAAGACTTCAAGTCAAGATGATGGAATCAAGCTTGCAAGAGAAAGTTTGGAAAAGAAGAAAATGGGAGATGATGAGAAAAAGGAAAAGCTGGAGTTGGTAAATATCTAGAAAGCTTTTAGCTTTTTAGGATGTAAAATGTTCCAAGATCAGGAAATGGAGATGAAAAACAGAGGAATCTCTTCTATAAATGCACACATATAAGCACTACGTATACAAGTATGAAGCCCTCTCGGCACGAAACATACCAGCATTTTTTTCATATGAAACACCAGCAGTACATATAAAGGCAATATATTGATATCTCATTTAATTATCCGAAGAAAACTACTTGTGGTTTTTAACATAATTTTATTTGTTACTCCCAGGGAAAACGAAGACTTAATGACAAACAAAGGAAAAAATAATGAATGAGATAAATTAGAGAGGAAAAATGAACGCACTGGTCATGCAGACATGGAAAGAAATATACATATGGCATTAGGTATGTTATGTCATACCGTGTTCATCATGGGAAACCATATCATGTAATAGACATCATAATACCACTCGTATATCAAATATGGAGTGAGCTATATCAGGTGAGAAATAAAAGAACGATGAGATCAAAGACATACCCAACTTCATTGAACTAGAATTTCAGATATTCTTCAATCCCGAAGACCAAGTTCAACCTCGAGCTCATCATCTTCTTCAAACAATTTCAGAAGTCGGGCATACTGCTCCTCTCTTCTCTTCTTTTGCCATAATTTGAAAAGGAAAATTGATAATAACAAAACTACCAAAAGCCCAAGGAGTATGATGGCAACCATCGAGCCAGTGTTGCTGTGGGAGGATGGATGATTCCCAGAGTCATTACTATCTTTGGTACTGGAGTCATCAGAAAGGGCTGTAGTAGCCAACCAAAAGAAGTGTTAAGAGATTGCTGCAGAAGTAAGTATTAATGACTCAATATGTACTAATTGATGGCTGGACATTTATCATTCAACAGCAAAATTCATTTCAAGATAAACGATCATGGAAGATGCACAAAATAAAAGTAGTCATGTGACTTAGAACCTTCACATGTAAATAAATAACATAACAAATGAGAATAAATGAAATAATTTATAAACAACGCATACAGGTTCAAAGGAAATAAACAACATCCAAGCCGGAGGTGAATGGAAACTCTTCATCTTCATTTTCAATTACCAAAACAGTGCATAACAACTAAATAAACAAACTTTATGGCTACTTTTTCCTACACGTTTACATAACTCTATAAACTTCCAAAAAAAATAAGAAATTTTGTCGACATGGAAATATTTATGATACTAAAAACCAATTTTTTTATTTTTGAATCCAGATTAAGTAGAACTGCTATTTCGTGCATCTGCTTGGTTCGCTTACACATTACGAAATTGAGATTAACTAATAGAAGATCCATTGAAATAGTAATAGCGCATCCAACTTTATTCAAACAGATGATGAAGTTCTGAAACTATTATTTGAAGTGAGAAAACATAAAGAAACAAAGATTCCAAAAGTTACAATACAAGAAAGAAGGCCGTCCTTCAAACGCTAACAAAAACAAGATCTCAACACGGATTTCATCAGCAAAGCTTTCAAAGTTAATTGCATCCGTCTCATTCGATTTACCTCAACTGATTTTAGTCACAGAATCAGCAAAGCCAAGAAACCGAGAAATTACATCAAATCAATAAAAGGAATCACAGAAACTCAAATTAGCAACTAACATAACAGACGTCGAGAGAGAAATTGAAAGTCAAAAAAAGAAAACAGAAATGATGTATCCGGTATAAAGGAAAAGATAAGAAAGAGAGATCTGAAGGAGGTACCGGAGACGAAAAGTAGGGAAATCGAAGCCGAAAACGCAACCAAATCAGACGATCTGCATCTCGAAATTCCGCTCATCTCTTTGTGTGTCTCCCGCAAGCTCTGCTGCAACAAAATTCTTCTCTCGCTCGCTCGTTTGCTCGTTGCAGAGAAATGGAAGTTGAAGGGAAAGCTGAAAGTTGCAAAACCACGCTAACGCTGCCCCTTTGGAAGTTGCCTCAAGAATCAAGATTCAAAATGCATGATTATCCTTCTACCCAATTTTACAATATATTTTATAAACTTAATTGATATTAAGAGATATTTTCAATAGCATAAAAACTTTTGTTTTTTCAAGATATTAATTAATGGAAATTTCGATAATTAAACAATAAAATTTAAATTTAAATGGTTTAAATTCTTCAATTTTTTTTTACAAAATAAATTAAAATAAAATCCTTTTTTTCTTTTGGTATATTGGATTGGATGTGATGTGTTAGTGTCCATTCCCAAATTTATTTTAATTCTCGTTAATTAAAATTAATTATTTAATAAAAAATTTGAGAAGGCAAGATTAAATTTCTATACAAATTTTTGCGGACCCGATACCAGGAAAATTACGGAACGGAGTGTGACACCCGCGGTATTAAAAATTTTCCCACCGATGCCTACACTTTCAATCATCTCTTCACTTTTACACTAAATTCTAAACCTTAAAACCCTGAAAGAAAACTTCCTAAACCTTAAAACCCTAAAAGAAAACTTCCTAAACACGTTTTCAAATTTAAGGTATAAAATTTATATCTTTTATTTGCAAATGTGGAACAAAAAGGACAATATACCAAAACAGAAAAACAGCAAAAAGAACCCATAAACACTAAACTGATAACAACTCATTTAAGAAAATAAGGGCTCCGTTAAAATCATCTTTTTATTTTGTTTTGAAACAAATTGAAAATAAAAATAAGAAATAAGAAACTTATTCCGGTCATTTCCACCATTTCTATAATACAATTTTGAGAATATTCCTAAAAAAAATATAAAATATAATTAATTACAAAATGCTTAAATTTCTTAAAAGATTAGAAATGAGAAACAAAAACAGAAATGTTACCGAACACAGGTCCTGGAACTCAAAATCTAAAATGAAGACTATCTAACAAATAACTTCATACTCTCTGTCTAAGTGACCGACCCAACCTCTATTAATACCATGCTTGTTCTGTACCACATAGGCAAATCCGAAATTTATGATAATGCCATATTTTGGGCATTCAAGAAATTTTCCTTGAAACAGACAAGGATGTATACCTCTTGCTATAATTTGAGCAAAACATCATTTCTAGAAAAGTTAATCATACTCAAAAAAAATCAAATGGGGAACAAGAAAGTACTATAAATCATAACAGCACTCGATAAAGCCAAATGGCTAGAAATTTTAAATAAAAAAGGGGTGGGTTCAGTTTGCCTCAAATAAATAAAAAAGGACAAAATCTACTTCAAAAGACAACATTAAAACAAAATCGACCCAAAAAGTTCACAGAAACCTTCCTCCCAAAGTCAGTCCTTTTGGCTGTTCCTCTACTTCTTACTTGAAGCATTTGGCATCCAAAAGAGCTTCTCCCTCGAATGGCTCCTGGTCTTCAATCATTTGGTTTACCCTCTCCTTCTGGGCTTCATCAGAGATATCGACCTTCTTCCACTCGTACAGTTCCATGTCGTAGCACTCGTCCATCACAAATTTCGGGATTTCCTGTCCGCGGAAAAGCCATAGCCCCTTAACCTTAAAGGGTGCCTCTGATCCGATCACGAGCATCTTTCCGAATGCATACTTGCGAGCAAGATCCATCCTCTGGAGAAATCCGCTGACTTTGTTCAATGTCACAAATGAAACAGTATTCTCGTCGTTGTACTTGTAGTCACAGAACCAAAGGGAGTAGCCTTCAGGGTCATACATGTCCCAGAATCCTGCATCACGTAAGATAAAGTAGACAGTTTCAATCATACAATTCTTCAAGGGAAAACAGGCTACCTTTCCTTCAACTTATTCAGTTCAATCATACCTTTGATTGCAACCTCGCGGAAGTTAGTTTTTGTGTTCGAGTAGAGACGTTTCCACTCGTCCAAAATCATCTTACTGGGAGGAAGCAGGTCAAGAGGATTTTTGGCCTTGGGTTTTGGTGCCTCCTCTTCCTCAGCAGCTGCGGCCTTGGGCTTCTCTTCTTGTTTCTTGGGCTCATCCTTAGCCTTTGGCTTGGCATCTGCAGCAGCCTCTTCGGGTTTTTTCAACGGTAGAACAGCATCTGCTTGCTTCACCTCACCCATTATCTTTTTGAAATTTGGTTGATTTACCAATGTCCAGAAGTACCTCTCTACATGAGGGAACTCGGAAGAAAAGCTTTTAGTAAACCAATAAGTGAATCCGAAGTACAGATTGCATGTCATGATGATATCAGCCAGTGTCACAGAATGTCCAACGAGGTATGTGTTTGAAGCAAGGTGAGTGTTCAAAGCAGCCAAAGCTCGCTTTAGAGCAGTATTGGCAGCTTCCTCTGCCTTCAAGAGGAAAATAAAATATAGCATAAGTCATATGCCAGAGAAATCAACCAGAGATGTTGAAAATTTTCAGTCATCCATGAAATAATAAAAAATTACACGGGTTAGAATAGTGAAATTGGAAACCCACAAATCCAAGAGAATAAAATTGACACCTTAAACATTTCTCGATTGGAATCAACAGATGCCTTTACAGATAATTGAACAAATTGGTAAATAAAACCGACTGAAAGTAGAAATAAAAGTGAAATCCAACTTACAGCAGCATCGTAAACACCATATCCAAATCTAGGCCTGAGTATAGTCAAAATATAAGTATCAATTTCCAATGAGGAGAAATCGATCCATTGTTCAACGTGTCCCTGAAACAATGAAAAGGTTTGATAATTATAGCAAACACCTTCATAATAATACAAGCGGGAGAACTCAAAAACAGTAATAATAATAATAATAATAATAATAGAAGAGGGAAATTGAATAATCAAGACCAATAAAAACAATGGAGGATCTTACATAATCGATCGAGGAAGAGCCAAATAAGCCACTGTCCTTCAAGCGAGCAACTGTAATAATAACAGAAGAAAATGAGTATAAAATAAAAGAAAAAGAGAGATTTCCATTTAACTCATCTGCCCAGATATAAAGTCTCTCCCATAGAAAAGATGCAATTACCATAGCGAGCAATAGCATTGCTTTCAAAGACAGCACCATCAGGTGTTTCCAGCACAGGAACCTAAAAAATGTTAAGTTAACTAATTTTTAGAATATTTACCCACAAATGAACTATAGTACAAATAATTGTACCATCTCTTAAGACAAAAAGATGTCCAGGGCATCCAGGGGATATTTGTTTACCTTCCCAATCGGATTCATTTTGAGAAATTCAGGTGTCTTATTGCTTACGCCCATTGTAAAATCTGGGACAATGTCAACTTTAACACCATTGTATTCTCCAGCAATTTGAGCTTTGAAAGCATTTTTGTTTGACTTCCAAGAATGCAAGACCTGCAAAAATCAACAAACATATATTGAGAACCTATCAAAGCTACTCTGAAATTAAAAAAAAAATAACATAACGTGGATTCAACCTTTTAAAAATAAATTCTATATGCAAAGGAAGTTGCAACAATTACAGTATCCTTTTGACAGAGGACTAGAAAATTCAGAGGTAAAAGAGAAAAACTGGCCATCCAAATCCAATTGCAATCATAAAAAAAAAGTGTTCTTGGCGTGCAAGAAGCCTGAAATTAGGATTAATAACTAACTCTCGTATGGTTTTAAAACTCTCAATCGGTAGAAACCCAAGAACAAGAAAGGCTGAAATTCAACGCAAAATGTGCAATAAATAATCATCAAAAATAAAAATAAAGCAACTATTTTTGCAACGTAAGTCAACGCAAAACGCTTTTAAATTTCAAAAGTAAACAGAATATCAAAGAAAAACAACTTTTAACAGACATAGATTTCAGAAAATCATACTCCAAAGAAAGATACAAAGTTCAAAACACACTTAAAATAAAACTAAAATTGAAATCCTTCGCCTCAAAGATCAAAATAATGACTTCTTTTATTTCCCTAAAACCCATCGAACAAAACGGCAAAACGTCGAAAAATAGCAGTTCAAAGCAGATCCGGAAACATCAGATGGCAAAATCCTGCCATTGCCGAACAATTTCGCAGCAAGAAAAACGTCAAAAACACAGCACGAAAATACAACAAACAGCCAATAGAAGTGATGATAAACACTCACCAGAGCCATCGCTTCGCGGAAAAAACGTTTTCGCTCTAAAAACAGATCTGACCAAATAGCAAACAAACAGTCAGTTACTGAAAGAAGTACATAAACAATTCAACTTCATATTGAACAGATTCAGCGCTGAAGCTGAAACAAACATGATTCAGTACAGAATTAGGAGATGAAGATGGGAGAGAGAGACCTGTGAGGGCGAGCGTTCTTCCGAGAGCAGGAGGGATGCCTGAGAGAAGGGCGTACAATGAGAGACTATATTGAGTGAGGAAACTAGGGTTTTGTAAGCGCTATAAGATGCTTCTGGGTCGGGTCGCATATTCGTTTGGGCTCCATGCCCGAAATTATTAACCCAACAAATTTTTTTATAAAATTGCCATATATTAATTATAAACTGTATTAAAAAAACAAACAAACAAAAACAAGAGTTTAAAATTTTGACGATAATATATCTAAAATTTAGATCTAAAAATCAATAAATTCGTAGTAATGCTGAGGTGAAACTTCTATATTGAAAATATTGATATATTAATGAAAATTTAATATTATTCTTTAATAATGTTTTAAAGTTATAGAATGTTTTATATTTACCCTCTATGAGTATACAATATTTTATTTGTACTCCTTTAATGCATGCATATCGCTCCTATCAGAAATATATATTTTTAACATATTCTTAAACAAAATATATATTAGTTTAAGTCTAAATATTTTATAATGTTTTCAATATTTTCTTACAATTTTAGGAGTTCAATATTAATCTCTTATGTTCATAAGTTTCAAGTCCAATTATTTATTTATTATTACTTTTTAGTACAACATATAAGGATGGAGATTCGAACTCTCAACTCTGGATACATTGTTTTAACCGGCCTGAGTTATGCTCTAGTTGGCAAGTCTAATTATTAATGGTTTAAAGTGTAACTTGAAAATTATATGATATATAGTTCTAATATTTCATAACGTGATAGTATTAATATATGAAAACATAATAACAGACTTGTAAATAATTGGATGAGAATACTAAAAGAAAATCTGTAACTTATTAAAACTCGAATACTTAAAATAAAATTTTAAATACCAAATGATAAATAATGATAAACTTTAGAAACCAAAATTTGAACACAAAATAACAGACTTGTAAATAATCATTAAAATTGTAGTGATGAATTTCTATACACCTTTTTGTATCATAGCAATTCAAAAACATATTTTCAAATCAAATAAATAATTTTACTAATTGTAGAGAAAAATATGCTAGATACTGACCAGGCCAGGTTGTGAAAATAAAAATAAAATAACATTTTGGATGAAATAAAATAAATATATAAATATTCTTTTTTGTTATCTTTAATATATAGGTATTAGCCTTTGATAATTTAGGTTATCATTATGAAGCCAATAAGGCAGATAATTCAATTAAACCCTCTAATTTTTGAACTTGACAAACAAAAAAAACATATGAATTAGATTAAAATTTTGTTGAATGTTTGAGCTTTACTAGTGTTAGCATCAAATTATTTATTCACCTGTATATATTTTAAATTCTTTTCATAATGATCCTTATTTATTTACTTATTTAATATATATTTGTAAATTCCAAATAAAATTTAAAGATTGTAAAACATTTTTACCTTTTTTAGGTTTATTATAAGAAATTATTTTAGATCACATATGTTAAATACTGTAAAAAAGATATTATATGGTTTTGATTGGTAAGATTTGAAAATCTTTGAATATTGAAAATAAAATGATCATACTTTATGAATAAAAAATTCAAAAAAAAAATGCCACCCAAAAATTCATGATATCTTGGGTGGCATTTGGTTTAGATGTTTAGAATCTAAAAATTCATGAGATCTTGAAAGAAGAAGATTTAAAGTCACATTTAATTTTAAATAATTTCAAAAGCATTCTATTGAATGTGAAAAAAAAGAAAAGTAAAATATCACTTACGTACAGCAAAAGCATTCTATTAATTGCATTTTTAATTTACGAAATATAAGAAAATAACCATAACAGACCTTAAATGTCAAGGAATTATTAAAATAACATTAAGATTCTATTAATTGCATTTTTAAATTTATGTAACATACTTTCTCCAAGAAAATAAGCATAATAGCTCTTAGATGTTAATGAATTATTAAGACAACATTAATAAATTTGTAATCCTTTCTCTAACTATTATATACACTTATATACAATAATTAATTTGTTGAGTAGGAGAACATATCATATTATTATTTTTGTAAAATAGTAATTAAATTAACTAAAAAAGTATTTTGTAATTACCAATTATGCTTTTTTTAAATAAAAATGTTCCATATCTCCTTTAGATAGTCGAGGTAAAGATTATGGACCAATATAACATAACTAGACTTCAAATTACCAAACCCGAAACTTGAAAGATTACTATCTACACTAGTTGGGATAGAAGTCATATAATGTGAGTTGAAAAAAAAACATGATTTTCTACTCTAATATCGACATACATTGTTAGAGACCACCAAGCTTCAACGAGATCTCTCAAATTGTCTACTTTAGACACAAGTACTCATGATTTAGCTTTTGCTATCACCCAAAGACCTAATTAATAGAGATTGTCCCTTACTTATATATCCATGATCTTCCTCTTCCTTAGTCAATATGAAACTTCAATGACTCGATGGCATTCCCAACATATATTAACTTACCACGCTTTAACATAAGGGTAAAATTTCATTGTCAATTTGATAGACGAGGAAATAAAACATTAGAATTTTTGTAATCGTGTGAGGATTAAGGAGCCTGTATCCAAAATGGCCATAAAGAATTCCATTTATAAGTTTTTAAGTGTTTAGTTGGTGAATCAATCCCATTGTAATCAAGGGTCTATAGTTAAACATGAGGGTCAAGGGTCTATAGTTAAACATGAGGGTAAGATAAGTTCGAACTCGAGTCACATGTGATAAGACAATAGTCGTACCCCATAGTTCAAGTTGAGACAACCATCATCTGAGCCCTAAGTAGAGACGTGCTAAACCGACCAATAGTGATGAGGCTCAAACATCACAGAACTAACATGTGACAGTTTTCAAGCTTCAACAGTTAAAACAACCATTCTCAGTGAATATCTAGCCTTTGCCCAAACATGAATGACTTTTCCCCTCCAAACTGCACTGATTCTTCACTCCCAACTTGGTAAATAAATATAATTAGAAGAGAGAAAGAGAGATAATATCCAAAGTTGACTGTCACATAGCATTTATACACATCAAGATTCAAACAGAGAATAATGAACAGTTACAGAGAGATCCATGAGCCAACAGAAATTAAAAGACAATTTCATCTACTTTAAGAGCCCGTGAACTTACAGATTTTACCATCACATAATTTAGCCGTGAGGAAGTGCTCAACTGCAACAGCTGCTCTTTTGCTCAATTGGCTGCCCCTTCATTTGCACGGTCCCTGACGACTTGGTGGAACTTGGCTGGCTCCCCATTCTATATAGATTTTGAAACGTCAGAAATTAAACATAAGAAGAGAGAAATTCAACATTATGCTAATGAAAAAGTCCACTTTAATCCAGACAGCACTTTGAATTTGAATCAACTATCATATTGAATTTTTCAATGATGTCGAAGGAGCTAAAGCCAGATACCCGAGCAGAATACACCATGCCCCAATATTATAATACGAGAAGTAACAGGTAGAATGGTCTTTACTTTTTCTTTATTTCAGCAGCCATAGTTAAGAAAGCTTGCTCCACGTTGATCGAGTCTTTCGCACTGGTCTCTAGAAAAGGGATTCCAAGCTCATCTGCAAGTGCCTAAAAGTCCATCCACAAGAGGAAATTACGACAAATTTTATCAAGTATTATGTTGGCTTATCTTCTTTATATTATTAGGGGAAGGCCAAGGAGAAGCAAGGAGGTGGAGAAGGGGGGGATTGCATATCATGCTTATGTTTCTGCAAATGCATGAGAGAGATAGTGGCAAGGACCTAAAACTAATGATACTAGACGGAGTAGTCACATAATACATTCATTTTAAAAATCATCATAATCAAAGGGATCATGCAATCAAATATGGCTGAAAAGACTTAACTGAATTTTGAAGTCCTTTTAAATTCATGTCCATGACTAATCATATGGATGATATGTATCACTTGTGAGTTGTAATACAGGGAAAAATCAATTGTGGTATGAAAACACAGACATATTGTCAGACTGCTCGTACTGATAACCAAAAAGTGGAAGCAACTCTCAGTTGAAATCTCAAAGGAAAAAAGAAAGAAAAAGAGTTAAAGATTAAAAACTACAACACAGCTAAAATAAAAACAATACCTTTGCTGTCTGTGTGTCAACAACCTTGTTCTCAACTAAATCACACTTATTCCCTACTAAAAGCTTGCATACGCTGTCATTAGCATATCTATCAATCTCGTTCAGCCATTGCTTGACATTGTTAAAGCTCTCCATCTCAGTGACATCATAAACAATCTGTCGCAATTAAAAAAAAAATTGTAATGATGAGACATTTCTTTAATAAAAATTTCAAATAATAAACCTGACAAAAACAAACAATACAATCGCGAGTTTGCTTTCTAGGCAAGCTACATTAAGAAGAGATCAGAACGCATCCTCCCAACTTTTCTTAGATATTGGCTTAAGGGCTAATAAGGCTAATGACAACATGACATTTGAAATTTTGAACAGAATCTTCCAATCAAAAATTAGAAAATTACAGACTGAGAACAAGTGAGAGAGAGATCTTGTAAAAATTCCATACAAATCTTTTGGTCCCTGAATTCAGTAGGCAAGATTCTTACAATTATTCCATGTGCACCTCTGTAATAGCTGCTTGTTATAGTCCTGAATCTTTCCTGACCAGCAGTATCCCACTAAATGAATAAAACAATAGAACCAGTCAAGTCTTCTGTATATCCAATTGGCTTTCGTTCGGTCCTTGAAATGATTAAGAATTCAGCTTTTGTAAAAAAAGTAAGGCAGAAAAAAGTGGATTGGCCAGTCAACAATAATGGTAAGTGAGAGTGCATGTTCACTATCATGTCTCTAACAATTTGCATCGCAACATTATCCACTGTTTCCTGTTCATCTGTTAATAATTACACCACTTTTCTGTCAGGTAGACTTGCATAGAAGACGGAATCTGGCACAAATGTATGAATTAAGATAGAAACTAATAAAGTAGCAACATCACAACCTATTTCAGTCAAAGCATGTGATTTAACAGCCTACTTACCTACACGATTGATGGTGTCTGAAACTTAAATATGCTACTTTGAAATTTGAATTTCATATTATCATATTAAAACCTAGAGAAATTGAAAAAGAAAATTCAAGGGATATCAATACCATTCGATAGCTTTTCTAATCCAATATGGCCTTAATTTTAGTCCGAGCACAATAAAGTAATAGCAATCGGATCACATTAAACATGCAACTGAGAAGTTTTCTGTATGCTCTTTTTTCCTAAATAAATATGGAACATACAACTGAACTGAATAGATGCAAAGCAATATTTTAGAAAGTATCTGAAACCAGGACAGAAAAGCAGCTTCCTCTAACGAAGCTATCGCTGCACGTTTAATTACACAGCAAAGAAAAACACAATCTACGAATAAGAAAGGAAAATTATCAAATAAGAAACTATTCAAGCCTACTCACAATCTGGAGCTTAATGGTCTTTCCATCCAGTTCCACAGTTCTGATTTTCTGAAAATTACAGAAGATTAGTCGTAAAGAAGCAAAATTCACAAGCAATGGCTCATAAAAGCTCCATATATAATCAATTAAACGGAAACGGTTTCAAGACTTACGAAATCAACTCCAATTGTACTTATATAGCTATCCACATAAGAATCATCCTGAAAAATCAGGGAAAACAAAAACAAAGCAATTAACCTTTTGCCGTACTCATAAAGACAGAAGAGGAAAAAAAACACGACATAAAGCCCTAAATCGTCACTCATTTCCACAGTCTGACACATAAACAGATGAAATTAAAGAAGAAACGTCAGATATCAAAAGGCCAACAATCGACTCACTGCAAATCTGAGAAGCAGACACGATTTTCCCACCGACGAGTCGCCGATTAACAAAAGCTTGAACAAATAATCACTGCAGAAGGAGAAAAAAAAAATAAACAACAGATAAGATAAATGAAGAGTTCGATTTAAAGCGAAAAATGAAGAACTGAATTGAAGTATGACATACTATTCGTTGCTCATGATTCTACGGTGTGTTGAATCGGATTGGAAAAATCGGTCTCAGGAGATTTCTCTCGGCGTCTTCGGTCGGTCGTAAAGTGGGGGGAAAGTGGAAGTGAAGTAAGAGCCCCGTTTGAAGGATTTTTTTTTTTTTAATTATCAATTAAAGTTTGTTTTCTTTCACTTTCTCTCTCCTCTTTTTCTATTTCTAAAATCTAATGTGTTAACTTATTGTGTCCTTAACACTTATGCCATTGAAATTTTGGACACACATAAAACAAGTGTTAACAAAGTAGAGAGGTTATTGGAATAACACTTCATGCAACATAGTCGATGAATCATACCAAAGAACTTCAATCACACTCTGGTCTCGGTAAAACTCGAGTCGAGGTGTACAATGAAACTGCCCTCGACTGTTCATTCATTATTGCATGTCTCGTGTCAGAAATCTTGCAGTCCTGATGAGTGGGACCTACCTATCAACGTCTATAAATACAAAGACAGACTCCATAAGTATGTATACGTGAATTTGGTTGCTCTATCTAAGATCATATCGTAGAGTATACTGATTTGAACGTCATAGATTTTTCTTTCACTATGTTTTCTCTGCACTTAATGAAACAAATTCAGCTGGTTCTTCCAACAATCAAATTTCACTATAAACAAACTCATTGTGTATTTCTTAAATAATATAGTTAACGTGTTACATGAATATTAAATTGATAGATTTAACCACAGTAATATATTAAACAAATAATTAAAAGTTCATTAATCTATTTTACACGAGAGTACGATATATATTATACAAAAACTACCTTACAAGTTTACTACAACAAGTTTGTGAAGTATAAAGGCTAGAAAACCACAAGTAAAAGGTTCATTGACTTAATTATTTGCAAATGCTCACTCTTTTATGTGCAAAATCATGCATGGAAACTTAGGCAGCTATGCATATATCATGGGATTGTTTTTTTAAACAAATTTGTTCCCGTTGGTGATTGAGATTCCTACCTCAAGAAAAGACTGATGAAAATATTTTAGAAAAATGTAAAATATATATAATTTAGTCTTTAATGTTTATGCTATTTATCCATTTCATCCTAACTTGTTATTTCAAGAAAAAAAAAATGGTAAACTTTTAAAAATTTACTTTTATATTTTAAATAAAGTGTTTAAGGTCACTATGAAGTTTTGATTGGAGATATATGTCAATTACCATTTAGCTATGTTGGTTTTGGCAAGATCACCATGAACTTAATATACGTGGAAGAATATGAAGAATATGAAATTATTAAATAGTATTATACCTAACATATCAATAAACACTATTTGATTATGACAAGATACTTGCAAGTTAAAGAGTTTTAACATCGTTTTGAACTTTCTTAAACATCTTAATGACTCAAATTTTGAAGCTATATCCAAAGATAATGTGCAAACTACTCTTTATTTGTGCTATTTGAATAGGGAGATTGGTTTCTTTTTTCTTTTTAATTTTTACCCAACTTGACCTTTCACCTCTCTTAATCTCTACCGCACTATTTTCAGAAATTCTTGAAATAAGCTTAAATAAAATATCAATTTGTACAGTATTTTGATCAATACACTTTTCCAACTTTATTAATTTGAGTCCAAGTAACTTTGAAATGCAAAAGATACATTTGGTGGAACAACACAGTTCCACTTCAACGTCCGAGTTGATACTCTCAGTTTCTCTCAAAAATCATAGTAATATTTTTTTATCAAATTATTTAATTATTTATTTCTTTTAAAATTTGTCTTCATGTCTATTTTTACACACGTCGTTTTTTAGGAGACCTACAGTCATTATGTCCCTTCGTTTTATTTGTTTAGATTAAAATCATCTTGGTATTATGCATTTTTTCTTCACCATGGTCTTGTATTTTTAAAATATAAGTTCTTGTATTTTTTAAATTTTTTCTATGCAATTGTACTTTCGAAACTTTTGCTTTTACCCAATACTTTAAAAAAGTTGTGGTTTTGATTATTATTATTTTTTTAACCACAATTTCAACATGATGTTATAGTGCACATATTTCTTTAGATGTAGCCTTAACTTTATACTAAATGATAACATTGTGTATATAAACCGTGTTAAATTTTTGCAAACAAGGATAAAAAAATGTCATTGATTTGTAAAAGTAAAAGGACCAAATTGATATTTTGACAATTGACTAACGTAAAAATTAAAGGAATCAAAATGAGCTAAAATTGAAAGCACGTACCAAAATAGTGTTTTAACCTATCTTTTATCTTGTTATTCTGGTCATAATTTAAACACAAAAATACATTCAATAAATTTATTGAGACGGTGAATATGCATTAAAGGATTTATGTTCTCAATGATCAAAATCATTATCTTTTAAAAATACATAAATCAAAATAGTACCAAATTTGAATTTTGAAATTTATCAATGAGGTTAAAAACACATTTCGTAAATAATTTTAAAAATTATTATACTTAAAACGATCCTAACAAATACTAAAATATAAATCTTATCACCTACATTATACAATTATATAGACTAATATTTTAAATATCATTATTGATTAAATACATAGTTTGATGTCTCGATTTTATGAAAATGTGAATAGAAATATTTTGAAAAAATCAGAATAATAATAAAAGTTCACAAAATATATAAATTAATAAATAATAATTTTACCCTTTTTAAATGAGTTATTATTAATAATATGTTCTCATTAGTAATATATATATATATATATATATATATATATATATATATATATATAATTGGTTGTTTTGAAATGTAATGAAAATGTCGTCAAGTCAACCCGAAAAGAACCGGCTTATTTCAAAATTGGATTGTAAAACATTCATACGGTTTGTTCCAACTCATAAAAATTAAATATGTGAACATTATTCATACTTGTTCGAGAAAAAACAATACAACCATTCTATTTTTGGTAATTTTATCGTAAAGTTTCAAGTTTGGTATTAATTTGTCATTTTATATTTGTTTTCCACTATCAGTTTTATGCCACACTTGAAAATTAACATATTATTCAGTATTAGAAATTCAAATATTATAACTTGAAAGTAGATCTATCGATCCAAACAGATTTTTCCAAATAAGTAATTATAGGTTAATTGAGATTCAAATACAATATTGCCTTTTTTTTTAATACAATATGTTGGAAAGAAGATTCAAACTCACCATTTCTGGATGGAAAATAAATACCTTAACTAGTTAATCTATGCTTAAGTTGACTATGATATTTCTTATTATGTACAAGTAAATTCATCGACTTAAAAATTTAATTTGATGAGTTATAATATATTTAATATTGTATATAAATTTCCAACAAATACTCCAAATCTTACTTAGAAGAAGACACAACTTGTCCACAAAATTTTAATATATTTAAAAAATAATAATTTAATGACATGTCAACTTTCTATTCTGAAAACAATAATTTAACAACACCTCAATTTTCAATTGACAAATTTTAACATATTCGAGAAGGAATTAATTGAAAATTTTTTAATAAAAAAATTTAAAAGGTTAGGGATTACAGCATAAACAATACGAGTAAATTTAGGAGTCCGAAAGAAATCCCCGTTGGCATATTTGGAATCTAACGTACAAGGAAGGAACCAAAGAAAGGTTATTTCGAATCCCGGATAGCATTATTCTAAACCGGAGCACAGGATACGATACACAATTAGCCAAACAACCCCCAAAGAAGGGGTCGCCGCAAACGCCGCCACGACAGCGTCCACGTAGGCTCGAGAACAACGAACCAAACTTCTCACCCTAAGCTGGAGGCTCAGACGCGCAGCTGGAGACAGCCTGTCACCAACAAAGTCCCACTCACCTATTCCCCTAACTACGTTCTCTCTGTCCCGCTCCTCTCTCTCTCTCTATCTCTCTCTCCTCTCTCCTCCCTCTCTCTTTCTCTCTCTAGCCTTCGTCTTCTCTTTCCCCTCTGCGGATTAGGGTTCTCTGGTTTCTTCTGTGATTCTTGGATACCTCCATTCGTGAATGCTAGATCAAGATTTTCCGCTCTGTAAGCTTCTGATTGATCTACTTTTCGTTTGATTTGGTTTGCATCTTCGCCTTCTCAATCACTGGACATGGGGTTTGTTTTGCGCCATTTTGTTTTGGTGCTTTTGTTTGTATTGTTCTTGTGGTAATTGCTCTTGTTCTTTTGATTTTTTTCTCCCTTTGACTTCGTTTCTAGCATGCAAGGTTTATCATGGTTATGATTTGATTTTTTCCCCTTGAAAAATGTGTTTATTCGTTATTTCAGTTCGTGTTGTATCAGTTCGTGTTATTTGTGCATTTGTTGGAAGTTTCTTGTTGGCGAAGAATTTTTAATGACTGCATTTTTTATTGTGGGCAATCTGTAGGAGGAAGGGTTTATCAAATTAGGCTTGCATACGTGAAGTTTTAATTTTTTTATTATTTTTAATTTTTTTTTAATGTTTCCTTTACATTTCGTTTTCGGCATGATTTGGTTTTCAATGTTTTGTAAAACCCTGCTTTTGTATCTAATTTTGAATCTCGAACCACGAGGTGTTGTCGAAATACTACTATGACCAGCAATGCCGGTTATTATATGAAGGGTGTTTTGCATATGATGAAAATTCATTTCTGAGTTTTCATAAGTTGCAATTATTTAGTTTGGTTTAAACATGTAATTGTAACTTTCCTTTATTTTTTATAGGATTTTTCAAACTAATATAAATTCATTTCTGTAAAAATAATTCGAACATGAAACTGTATCTAACTCTTGTAAGTTATTGCTGGATGTCCACATTAGTTTGACAAAATTTACATAGTAGTTTGTAAATCTTCCGAGGGTTATATACAATTACTATTTTATGAGTAACACAGTTGGGAACTATAAATCTTAAGAGAACGTTTGACTCAGATATATTTGTACGTAAGTTTTAACATCGAACAAGGTGAGATTTTTACAAGATTCTGGATCCCAATTTCTGACTTGACATCGGTCGGGAAGTTGTTTTTATGTGTTATGACTGTAATGGTTTTTTATTTAAGGAGTCTTCTCCTATTAGAAAACTGAACGCATTTGGGTTTGAAAGCTGGTTTGTTCCTATCTAAATCTGTTAGTTTCTTTATCATTTGTACTGGATGTTTGTTTACCTGGGAAGTTGGCAATGCCTTTTCCCCCTCTTGATCTCAAGATAAACTTTGTACTGTGATGCATACTAAGTTTGGTTAAATCCTATAGGAATTCGTTTAATTACATTTTATCATTATTTATTTGCCTTGCCTCTGCTTCCCATTTATTCTGTGTACTCAATATTTTCCATCCTTTCCTTTTAGCGTATACATTTTTTATTGAGTAATAAGGTTAATTCCTCAATTGCTTCAAGTTTTTCCTGCACCATCTATTTCTCCTTCTCATGTATACTTAAAGTTGAGAGTGTTTTTTGGGGAGTGTTTAAAGCAGCTTGAGGCTGTAGTTTCTCTTTAGGCCTATTACCTATATGGAAATCACGTGTACCTTCTCCTTGGTGATCTCTGCTTGCTTTTTTTTGAAATTAAAATCCATTTGTTCTTCATTGTCCTGATTCAAACTCCATATGCAGTTTCTTCTCTGTTCTTATTTTATCCCACTTTGGTGCTGATGATCGAGATGGACTGTTATGCTTAGAGCTTGAATACAAAGGTTGGTTGTGAACATGGGCATTGTTCTTCATCACTGCTGCTTCAAATATTGTTCCACTATCATCTCCTACAGAAATTTGTGGTTAATTTGAACTCTATGAAAATCTTCCATCCTGGGTTGCTTTGCTTTTGTTCTCATTAGAAGTGGGAAGGAAGCTAATAAACGATAAGAGGTCCTTAGTATCCATGCTGGCAGAGAGTATGCTTGGAATCTGTGCATCGAGTAATGCCCCTGACGAGATTTGCTGCCGATGCATTCGGTGTGGTGACGATCTGTTTAGTGGCCCTATTGATTCTTCTTGGTTTACTGTGCATCATTTACTCGTGCTACTTCCGGTCTCGTATTCATAGTGAAGGTTGCATTCAACTCAGCTACTTCAGTGGTCCTTGGATAATTCGAATTACGTTCATTTTGTTTTTGATCTGGTGGGGTGTTGGTGAAATTAGTCGTCTAAGTTTCTTGAGACTAGAAGGGGGATTGTTGCATGACTTGAAATGGCAGGAAACTGTCTGCAAATGTTACATTGTTTCGAACCTCGGGTTTGCAGAACCTTGCCTATTCCTCACACTTTTGTTTCTGCTTCGAGGTCCCCTTCAAAAGATGGAGTCCGGAATTCTCAGCCGCAAATGGAACAGGAAAACTGCAGGGTATATTTTTCTCTACTGCTTCCCAGTGTTTGTTCTTCAGATTGTTGTTATACTTATTGGACCCCGACTAAACGACGATAGCAGATACGCTCATAAACTGCCAAAATATTTTACTAGTGCAGCCACCATTGTAACTGTATCTAGTTCGAAAGGTGTTCGGGACATCGCTCTCTGTACTTACCCTTTACTGAGTACTATCCTCCTCGGCTTTTTTGCCACCATCCTAACCATCTACTTATTTTGGCTTGGGAGGCAGATTTTGAAACTGGTCATCAACAAGAACTTGCAGAGGAGAGTATACACATTGATATTCTCGGTTTCAGGATTCCTCCCGATACGGGTTATATTACTCGGTTTTTCTGTTTCGCGGAAACCAGAGCAGTTTTTATTTGAAGCTCTCACTTTCTCAGCTTTTCTTGTACTTTTATGTTGTGCTGGACTGTGTATATGCATGCTTGTCTACCTCCCGGTTGCGGATTCTTTGGCTTTGGGCAATTTACAGGATTTGGAGTCAAGGCGAAGGTCTATCGATGATCACAATGACACTATCTCTCTCATTGCTAACCAGCCCCGTTTTGGTGATACCTCCTCCCACATGAGCCCGGCCAGAAACTCCGATGCCTCCACCAAGCGGGGGTCGATTTCTTTTAGAACATTTGAAAAGGATGCAGCTTCAGCTGGAATGGGGACTGCTACTTTTGTGGAACTCAGCCTCTTCTCTCCCAGCCGAGAGGCTTCCCCGCCGGGGTCCCCTCCACTTCTCGGTTGGCCCATGCGCCATGCTTGAGAAACCGTCTTATGGCTGCGGCCATGGCAGTGGAGGTGGTGACGGTGGTGGTGGTGGTTGAAAGATTGTGATGAGAAACTGAGTATTTGTCAATTTTGCAATGAAGAACAAAAACTGATTGTAAAAAGGAAACGAAAGGGTTTAGCTTCTTCAATAAGGATTTTTAATTTTTGGCTTGTTTTGTTTTTCTTTCTATGATTCTATTTTATTTAGATATGATGAATTCGCTATTGTGGGGATCTATAACTTTTCTTTCTTTTCAAACCATTTTCCCATTGTTTTTTTGTATATATTATTTTTTAAAAAAAAAATTCCCTCCAGATTTTACACAATTTATCTCTAGAATCACAAATTCCTAGTAACATTTGCTAACATTGTTTGTAAATATGTATTTTAATAAATTACTTGAAACATGTACGTTTAAAAGAATCGTAAATATTTTACACAATTTTCAAAAGATTTTATTAATAATTATAAATTTGATGATTGTTGATTTATGACTGACTAAGTTATTGACTGTAAATATAATAATTGTTAGATAATTTAGATAATGATTTATTATAAACTTATAAATTACTATTTTTTTTTCCATATTTGTTATATTTTATTTAATTGTTTTGGTAGAATCTTAGTTTCATTTTACTTGATTTGTCGTCTTTCTAAATTAAGACGGATTTTTTCAAAAGAAAAGGGAAGGATACTCAATAATTATTTTATTATGCAAAAATAGAAGAACTGACATAAATTTATTAAAAAAAAAACTGAAATAAACCTATCAAAAGACTGAAATATTTGTTTTAAAGAAGTTAGCTTCTTTTCTCTTTTTGACAAAATTTATCACAAAGTTGGCTTCTTTTCATAAAGAACACATTTTATACTAGAAATACAAAAATAGCAAAATAGAAACATAATATTACATTTATTGTAACACATATTTAATTTATGAAAATAATATAGTCGAGACATCTTACTTATACATTTGAAAAACGTAATATTTTACTTTTTAAATATAAAATGTGATCAGATATTTTAAAATATATTATTTTAAATTTAAATCTCAGGTTAACATTTTTAGATGGTTGGATTTTGGTATCAACTTTCAAAATGTTTAGTCTGGTATTTCAACTTTAATTTTATTTAACTTTTAATTTTATTTGCCAAAGCGAGCATAGTTCGGTAATTGACATATATCTCAAATAAAGAGGTTGTGAATTTGATCTCCACCTCATAGTACATAAAAACAAATAACTTTTTTGTTTTTGTTGTTGTAAGTTGTAACCATCCTTGTTTTGCTTTAAACAATCTGATCATGTCATGTGGTAAAAATTCTACCACATGTGGTACAAATATTTTTTAATAAATTACTCAATAGAAACAAATGATAGAAACGTATTTTAATCAATAGATGTCTTACATGAATACGTGTTTGAACCACTCCTAATGTTTAAGTTTTATTCACTTATCAAGGACCAAAATGAAACATCAGAGTGTAGAAACTTTATTATGCAAAAGTGTAGCGAGAGACTACTTTACTATATTTAAAAGTGTAGGAACTTAAATATAATAAATATAAAATGTATAAAATGTTAATGATAATTGAACTTAAAACTAAAATTGAGAAACACTGGTGCTAAAAAAAATGTTAAAATACTGTTTTGATTTTTATACTTTTTAGCTTTGGTATAGTTAGTTTATTTTAGTCAATCTACTTTTAACCTTGGTTTATTCGAGTTGTTTTCAAAATGTTGATTTTGATATTGGTATTTTTAAAAGACTACTATGTTGACCCGTTTGTAAAATTTAATACGAAAATCTTTTCGCATAAAGCTACGACTACCTTTCAAGAAATCTATTGGTAGTATCGTGTTGTAATTATTATAAAAATAAAATGAAAATAAACAAAACAATTTTTATTTTAAATTACAGGTTCAACTCAACTCCTAAAGTTAAAAAGGAGAAACTTCTTCTTTAATATCATTATTTATTTATTTGTAATTTTTTTTTCACCCCGACCTAAAATCAAACTTTTAAAAGTCGAGGACAAAAATACTATTTTAATCTAAAAAAAAGTTACATATTTAAGCAATATAAAACTATATGTCCGCTCAAAAAAAGTGATATTTTCAGGCTTTAATCATTACTCTACAAAATTGCTTTAGCATAATCAGCATTTCTTAAAAGGGAGCTTCCTGGTCCTCAGTCGTCAATGTGAACAGTTCAGTGAATTCAAGCTCCAATCTGCGCAAATGGGGAAAAAGAAATGCAAAACCAAAGAAGAAATCGGAGAGGATTTTTGCTTCCATTGCAAAGATGGAGGACAGATCAGGTTCTGCGACTTCAGGTGAGTTCCATTACAATTGAAAATGGCAATTCCTTCTTCTATTAATGCAAGAATTTTTTTCTCAAGAGAGAGTGATCATGGAAGGGAGAGCATAACAAATGTTGATGTTTAGAGAGAAAAGTTCATGCATGGAAAATTGGGCGAGTAGCGAAAAGTTGAAGTGGGAAATTGAAATGAACAAAAAATCCGTTGCTCTGTTTGTTTGTTCTTTTTCTCCGTTTTCCTCGCACGATCCAGTTAAAAATTGGTTACTTAGTTGTTTAATATTTTTTTCCCTTGGATCACCAATAGTCACTTTTTTTCTCACATTGTAATTTTCAGCCGAAACTTCTCCTAGAAATTATTTTGGGAAAGTACACACAGGGATGCCTCTAGTATATGATTAGTTGGGCTATTTATTTAGAATGCGGTAGAGGTTTGATCATCTCAATCCCCATTGTGTCCGGTGATTTTCCTTGTTTCAAGGAAAAATCTCCTCTCTCTCTCAAAAAAGAAAATAATAATAATAATAATAATAATAATAATAATAATAAAACACACATTGTGTCGGTTTATGAATATTCATGAGTGAAGAAGATGTATGGACGCGTAAACATGTTTTTATTAGCATGCTGATCGGACTTTTTTCGTGTGCATGTGCTGTAGATGTGGTGTTTTGGGACACTGTTGTTAAAAGCTAAAATTAATGTAAGATCATTCCACTCATTGGCTAGATTGTGTGAAGATGCGATGGTGTAGATGTTTTTCTTTTTTGGTTAAAAAAATTATCTGGATTTTGGACTCTCTTATATATTCCTTTTTGTGCCGATGAATATCTCAACGATCATACATTTTCATTCTGTATTATCAAAATAGGCTGTGATTATTTGATTGCGTATATAATTATTTCAGAGATTGCCTTAAAGCGTATCACGCTGATTGTGTTGGAAAGGAGGAATCTTTTGTGGAGTCTGAAGATCGTTGGATCTGTGGTAAGATGCAGAACGATTATGATTTTAAGAGTGATCTACGTGCCGTGTGTGAATTTTAGTCTGTTTTATTTCTCCCCTTGAATTAAACAGTTGCTAGTTGCTTACTCTTGATGATTCTTCTTAATACAAGTTATATCTTTGGACAACACACGGGAATAAAAAGTTTATGAATCCAATATTATCTTTCGAGTTTCAATCCCGCCCCATTTGAAGTTCGTGACTTCTAGGGTAACTACTGAATGAGCATGGTATAATGTGACTCCTGGACATGTTTATTAAGAGATCTGTCATTGACTACTTCAAAGTTATGAGATTAATATTTCTTTAACATGTTGATGCAAGTGACACACAAGTTATATAGTTATATCTGCTGAGTATCTCTCCGAGTCTTGTACCATGCGGTCTTTCTTATTAAGGAAAAGATTGATTAACAATTATGTGTTATTTCCACGTATTAAACCTGCTTGCTGCCTTGCCTGTTATGTGCCTCTCCCATGTCTTCTACATACATGCACATGGAGGCCTCAGTAAGATCAGTTTCCAGAACTAACTGGGAAGTGTAAGCTTAGTCTGTTGCTTTTTTTGCTAAATATCTGGTAGTCTTTTTGTCTGCTTGTGCCATTTATATATTTTTCGGTTTCTCAAATAATGATGTAAATTATGTATCAGAATGGCATTTATGCCAACACTGCCCTAAAACCTCAAAGTTTCGTTGTGTTTGCTGCCCTAAAGCTGTATGTGGACGCTGCATTTCTATCAGCGAGTTTGTGCATGTTAGAGGGTATAGAGGATTCTGCAGTCACTGTTTGAAGCTTGCATTACTTATAGAAAATGGTGAAGATGTTGACTCCGACGGGGTATGCTCACTTATCCTCTTTATGATTGCTTAGCACTACTCCTTTGCACACCCCAATATCCAGAACAAACCTCTCTCTCCATTTTGGTTTTATCCTTCTGTTCTCTTCATTTATTTCGACTAACGAGCAACAGAATGGAAGAAAGTATTTTGAATAATTCTTTAAGAACCATATCAGTAATAATATGTATGGTTTAGCCATATAATCTAACCAATCTGGCATGAAAAACTTATTTCAAGACAATTTATAAAAAAATTCAACCAATAAAATAATTCTTAAAATCATTTTTGGATATATGTGAATTCAGCTCTTTATTGGGTTATCTGGTTAGTAGGGAAGAAGTGTAATCTTGAAGATCAATCTGAAGATCAGAATGATCTTTGTCATAGATTTCCCCTCCTAGGTTCTGGTAAAAAAATGTAAACACCTCTTTAGACTTTGCTAATACTTCTGCTTCCATGCATCCCAAAAGGTCAAACTTTTTGTAATTTTTTTATTGTCTTTTAAAGAGGAATTATCACTTTTTTATGATTGATTCTTTATATTAGTTTTTTTGTAATGGAAAAAAAAAATCTTGAAATGACTTCTCACTTCAGGCAATCTTTTCAACCCAAGAAATGAAATGGGTTGTGCATTATGTGCTTCAAAATTATAATTGTCTTAAATGAAGTTTCTTTTTCTATTGGTAGTGAGGGTGAGAGATGGAAGAAAAATTATGATTAACAAGGTACTCAATTTTCTGAAGTTCTCTTTATTTCCTCATTAAATGAACACATTTTTGGTACCTTTGGGTTTTACGTTATCTCTTCCCTCATTTGTTGATTCTTATGCCATGGACTTCCTCAAGCGATTACTTCTTTCAAATATTATTAGGCTTTTGCTTATATGTGGATGTTCTCACATAGTCAAAATATTTGATTCATCTAAGATGTATGGTATTTTTCTCGAAATGAGGGATCTTCAACTTCCACCTTTTCTCGAAAAGGTGAATTCCATACTTTCAAATTCTTGATGCCACAAGGCCTGAGGTTTAGTTGAAAACCACCATAACCATTGAGGTAGGAGGGTAATATTTTTACACCCTTTCCAATACCCAGCCCATCTTCCTCATAAGGTTTTGACTTTTGACGTAAAACTCCACAAACCAAAAAGGAGAGAGAGATTAATGTTGTTCATCTTCCCTTTTACCTAAAATTGCATCACAGCTGAGTGGTCTCCAAACAAACCTTATATTCGTGTTATATTTCCAAATTTATTTTTCTTTTTCTTTTTTGTCCCTAATGACTGTCTTGGACATGCAAGGCTGTTATAAATCTCGTTTGGTCAATCAAATATTATTATTTCCTATTAGAATATGAATAAATAAACAAATTTAATAACCATCATGGGATGACTCAAGTGGTCAATGAAGGCCAATGTAAATAGTAAAGACTTAGAGGGAGTCGTTTCAAACCATGGTGGCCACCTACCTAGGATTTAATATCCTATGAGTTTCCTTGTCAACCAAATGTAGTAGGGTCAGGCGGTTGGCACATGAATAGTTGAGGTGCGCGTAAGCTGGTCCGATAGACGGATATTAAAAAAAAAAATCATAATTAAATTTAATGTAACCCATCAACTTAAATTTTTGGGTTTAGGGAAACAAGATCCCTGTAATGTCATTTCTTCTCCATTTAATATTGACGTTGAGTTTTGTGCAAATTTTCAAGTCCACAAGTGTGATCGAGTATTAGAATATGAACAAATAATTAAAATTTCCGTAAACCTTTTTTTTCTCTTTTTTGAAGCAAAATTTTCTGTAAACTGGGTGCAGTGGTGATTTCTACTTCCTTCTGATTTTCTTATGCCTTCTATGCTTTATAATTTGCAGACAAAGATTGACTTTAATGATAGTGAAACTTATGAATTCCTATTCAAGGAATATTGGGAACTGATGAAGGTAAAAGAGGGTTTGACAGCAAAAGATGTCCGTACTGCAAGTAACTTATTGATGACGGGAAGTAGATCTGACTTCAATTCAAACGAAATTGAGGAATCAGAAGAAGACACTGATGAATATGAAATATCATCAGATTATGAAGAGCAGGTGGATACAGAAGAAGGGCACAAGCTAGTAAGAAAAGGAAAAAGAAGCAAGGAGAAGCTAGGCACAATGAAAAAAATGAAGTCAAGTAACAAAGAGTTCATTGGATGGGGGTCAAAACCAATTATAGACTTTCTCTCAAAAATTGGCAAAGATACAAGCCAAAAGTTATCGCAGGATGACGTGACTTCTATAATTATAGCTTATTGCAAAGAAAACAAGCTTTTCCATCCTCAGAAAAAGAAGAAAATTGTTTGCGATGCTAAGCTACGTGCTGTTTTTGGGAGGAAAGCAATTAATATGATTAGCGTGTACAATCAACTAACTGCTCATTTTGCTGAAAACATGGAGCAACCATCAGATGATGAGAGCACAAGTAGTATAGAAGAGAAGGATGATACTTCTTCAATGGCTTGTAAAAGGCCGAGGAAGTTGGTCTTAGATAGAAAACCAGCTGAACAGGAACCTTCACATGTGTCACATAATTGTTCCGCTGCTATTATTGCTGAAAATGTCAAGCTGGTATACCTGAAAAAAAGTCTGGTAGAGAGACTTCTTGAAAACCACGAATGTTTTGAAGGAAAAATGATGGGAAGTTTTATAAGAGCTAAATCCGATCCCAATGACTATTCACAGAAAAATTCTTACCAGTTACTGCAAGTTACAGGTAATTAACTATCTCTATTGCTTAGATTAGTGGTTGAATTTTATAACATATGTAAGCTTAATATTTGAAGCATTTAAATATTTTTGTCCAATTTATCCGCAGGAAAAAAATCTTCTTCTATGATGCTGCCTTTCTTCATGGTGCTTTCTCATTTTCTAATGTACAAAGCTAACGGGTTATTTGTTCATATAAAAATTACAAAGCTAACGGGTTATTTGCTTTCTCATATTCTACTAGGTCGGACCCTAGTAGTTTTGTCCAATTCACCTCTATGTGAAAGGTATTTTCATCTGCATTTTCTGAAGTGCAGCACGCACATGAGTCTTTGCATAATTTAGTGAGTGAGACACACAGCATAAAAATAACAAAATTTTAATATATGAAAGATATAGTATTATGTTGAATGAAATACAGAAAACTTAAACAAGTGAAGATTTTATTTAAGAGAATTTTTAAAGAGATAGACATCCTTTGACCTAGATCCCCTGTTTAAAAAAAATCATGAGCAATGAGCTCAGGCACCATGTGTTGTAATCCCACTATCTTGGAGCGTGTGGCTCCATGATTCCAATCTCAACCATGGTTAGTTGAAAGGCTTCTCTTGCCTTGACCCTCTTTTCAAGATTCCTTCAGATCTGTCAGACTTAAAAGGCAATGTTTGTTCTCTTTAAAATTGAGCCCGTTGATCTTGCATGCAGGCATCGTGAACATTTGCCTAACTAACCACATGCATGAACCATTGAACACTCCCTTGACTTATTGTTTGCTTACCCTTGAGCTTTTGCTCACAACTCACATGCAACTCGAATGGCCATGCAAATGGATTATAGATTGGTTAGTTAGACTTAAGCTTGAGAGGGACATAAAGTGAGTTAGATGGAGAGACATACAGTGAGACCGATGAAGGGAGAATCTGATGGGAAGAGAGGTGGAGGGAAAAGTGTAGGAGAGAGTGATATTGAGGGAGAAATGATGGAAAGATAGGTAAAGTAAATGGATATAAACAAAAGAGCAGCCATCAGTTGGAAATATCAGTACTTAGTTTATTTTTTAAATAATTTTTTTAAAATCTAATTTCTTATATGGCCAAATGAATTCGGTTAAATAATAGAATAGATTGTCCTTTCATGCATTAGTTATTGTTCTTGTTGTCTAGCTCTTGCATACTAAAGTTGGCTCATCATGGAACATATGATTGAATTTTCACAGTTGATCATTACACCAGGTGAACAAAATTTGATAAATTAAGTTGTGGCATCTGAACAAAATTTGATAAATTAAGTTGTGGCATCAAATATTTATTTATTTTTTCAGTTTGAAGGTAATAAGTGAAGCATTTCAAGATGAATGTCCAGTCCATAGTGCAATGAATCTTCATTAGTATTCTTCTTTTATTTTCCCTACTGGAAAAATAATCATTCTTTACTTTTGGTGAGAATAACCTGGTCTTTTCAAAATCATTTTCGTGCACCTCAGCCACCTTTGGAAGTGTGTTCTGCCATACATTTCTGTCGCTGAAACTGATTGATCTTTGGTAGTTTCATATTGAAGTGTTGCTGGTGATTTAAAAATTACTGTACTTTGCTCTAATTCTTTTTCTGCACATCACAGGCATAAAGACATATTCAAGCAACACTGAGAAACAGAAAATTCTCCTGCAAGTTACCAATAGGCTAGACTATATACCAATCAACAATTTATCAGATGATGACTTCTGTGAGGTAGCATAGACATGTTTGTTTAATTTGCATAGTCTGTTAGAAAATTCGGATCCTATCGTTAAGGGAAATTTTCAGCTCCCACTATGCTTTATTTATAGATAATTTTTAGCTATAAACTTTTTGTAGTGACCTTTGAAATTTGAAATTTTACCAATGTGTCTAATATCGTGTTTTGGGACAGGGAGCTCTTGAATTAGAGTTTCATTTCGTAATTGAAGATCTTGATTTATGATCCCCAGATAAATAGGGAAAGACCTTTTCCTAGTTTTAACAAATCCATAGTGTTCGCTCTGAACTTTCTTGTGACGATATGACAAGTTTTCTCTAAATTGTGCCAAAGCTGACCAAAAATTGTTACCACTTCTTTGTTGTTACAAATCAATAAATCAGAATCTAAAACCATTTACAGACTGCTACTCACCATGCCTAGGTAAATTTGTGATCTGTTGAATTGGGTGACATCATGGAATCAAACAGTTATACTGAAGTTGAAATGGAAGGATTTTCTCTGCAGGGAGAAACTTCCTCCTTTTTTACATTCTGATCGTAGAAGAAGCCTCTACTAGAGGTTTTCTAAGTGATCCACCCTACTCATATCGAAATAAAGATAATGTTGGGAAATGTTGACCCCGTGTCTGGTATTGCAGGAAGAATGCAAGGATCTGCTCCAGAGAGTGAGAAATGGCCTGCTCAAGAAGCCCACTGTGGTAAGGCTGTAAAGGTTTTGAAGCATGCATGAACTGGTAGAGAATTACTCAACTGAAAAGCTTTTGCAGTGGTTTTCTGTTCATGAGAAAGTATATTCTCGTTTGAACAAGTCTTTTTTTCATGGACTAGTAATAGCTCTGTGAAGGTACTTCTTGCCTGGTGGCCTATAGTGAGAAACGAGTTTTATGAATGAGCAAAGACCAAAATTAAAAATAATCTTCATTTGTCACAATGTCGTATTCTGTCTAAATTTTTTCTTCAGATATACGCTACCGCATTCTCTTAGTAATTATCGACATGGATATCCATCTGTATGTCAAATAATCTTCATTTGCACCTTTTAAACAAATTTCTTGTTTTAAAAAAAAAATCCAAACAACCTGTATTCTGAGAACCTCTGCAATTAATTCTCTGGATTAAAAAATTTTGTGACATGTGAATTCTAAAACCTATAAAGCTTTTGTCTTACAGTCTCTTATAACAGTAAATTTGTGCTCAATAACTATTGAAGCTAAGCTAGCATGAAATTTGGCATATCCTTTATTACCTCTCCAAAATCTTCACATTATCTTTCTAATTTCCATGTTTTAAATGTCTATCTACCAAACATGATTACATTTCAAGAAAGTTTATGGTGGTTTATTTTGCAAGTTCAACAATGAGATGAACTTGAGAAGTTCTTGCACCCTCTCCATTCTGGCATCTTGTCTGTTACCTCATGTGTGTTAAATGCATTTTTTACTGTACAACAAGTTTCTGTAAATTTATGCAACAAACTAATGTAGAAAACCTCCGGGGCTTAGTTTTAGCTAATTTTATTTGTTTGGCCTTTTACAATGTTGAGAATTACAACGGTATAATGATCAAAGCCTGTAAATAGTCGTGCAGTGGTGCTGTACTTAAATCTACATGTCTCTCTTAATTTCACACTATCTCATAATTTATTATTCTGTACTGTCTAAACCTACATCTTTTTTAAGACTTTTCTTTTTCTTGCTAAATTCAGAGGCATTATTCAAATTCACATATTTTACTTGTAGCTTTAACTATAATTTATTTTTCTCAGGCGGAGCTTTACGAGAAGGCAAAAAGTCTGCATGAGGATATTACAAAACATGTAGGGTAATCTGAAATATGATTTAAAGTAAATAATTGATTTCATCTCTAAATACATTCAACTGGTTTATATTTGTCACTGTCAGTGGATTACAAGAGAGCTGACCAGATTGCAAACGTGTATTGATCATGCAAATGAGAAGGGAAAGAGAAGAGAATATCCTTTCTGGATTCACTTTATTTGACACCTGTCATTTTTGAGTGGCTAAAATTAAGACAATGATTTATTTTAGAAGAAGTATAAAACTCTAAGTTGATAACTTTCTAATTGTTGCCATTTCAATTATTGTGGTCCTACTATACAATAAGGATAACAATCATAATGCTTAAGTTTATCCTTTTCTCTTTGGATCTACTGGAGCACTCATCGTATACATAATCGTCATTAATATATAAACACTTTAAGAGAAAAGAAACAGAAGGAGAAAAGAAAGAAAGATGGCATACAATTAGGATGAGAGGATAATCGTTACAAACTCTAGACATTACAAGGAAATATCTAACATTGCATATCCATGAGTTGGAATCACCTAGGATATCAGATAGTAATAATATCCCTGTCTGTTGAGTTACCTCAACTTCTACGGTTTAAATCATTCTTATGTATATTCTCTTGACTATAAAGTTGTATGTCTTAGTTAAAATGATAACAATAACATTAATAAGATATAACTGTAAAATGAAAAGGATCAGACATAGTTTTGCCTAACCATCTACTTCTTTTTCGATTTGGGTCCACATGCTGTTGGGTAATTTCATGTGGATCTGACCTAGCCGGCATTTTGTCCTTAAACCTGAGAAAGATAAAAATAAGTGGCCTTAACCTTTGCTTTGTATGTACACTGTTTGAGTACATGGAAAAAAGACTTCTACTTCAAAAGTCATCAGAACAAGCACGGTTGATAAATGAACTTCCAAAAGTGATAGCAGATATTCCTGAACCCACATTTGATGATTTATTAGAGAGGGATGAACAAGTAAGTCATAAGCATGAAGCACAACCGCCCATATGGGGTTTACAGCACAAGGCCCTGGTTGATACAAGAGACGACGGAAAAGATGTCACAGGTTACTGGCCTTTGTCTTAATTACTTGATTTTTTTTTTTTTTGGATCTTGCTCTTGGCTTATAATTATTTGAATAATTCATGTTCAGATGTTCTCTTTTACCTTTGAAAAAGTACTCACTTTTGGATGTCTCTTCTATACTAGTTGCGACATTGAATTTAAGAGCCATTGATCCATTAAATTTAGTTTGTCCCGTATCATGATCCATTTAATTTATGAGCCAGGCCGTAGCTTGTTTTCTACCTTTGATGATTTATTAGAGAGGGATGAACAAGTAAGTCATAAGCATGAAGGACAACTGCCCATATGGGGTTTACAGCACAAGGCCGTGGTTGATACAAGAGATGACAGAAAAGATGTCAGAGGTTAGTGGCCTTTGTCTTAATTACTTGATTTTTTTTGGAACTTGCTCTTTGCTTATAATTGTTTTAATAATTGATGTTCAGATGTTCTCTTTTACCTTTGAAAAAGTACTCACTTTTGGATGTCTCTTCTATCCTAGTTGCTACATTGAATTTAAGAGCCATTGATCCGTTAAATTTAGTTTGTCCGATATCATGATCCATTGAAGTTATGAGCCAGGCCGTAGCTTGTTTTCTACCTTCCAAGTTGTATGTGTCTTTTCTATCCTTACTTCTTAGTGCTGCCTGTGTAGGTCGTACCGTTAAGATAGCCATACATCCCCCTTCTCATAGTGAACATCTTCATTTATTGTTTCCTTTAGAGGTAGTTCAATCCTTTGAACATGTGGGTTGTAATTTGGAGGCTAAGTTATCTTGATAGGTGACTGATTTTTGAGACATATTTTTCAGTTTTCTCTTTCACTTACCTCCTTAAACTGACTGGTAGAACATAAGGAGCTATTGGGGCTTTCTTTTAGTGTTGATCAGGCTTGAGTCCCGGGTTGTTTCCTGAATCTGCAGCAGCTGGGTCTTAGTGTTGGTTGGGTTTCTGTTTAAGGGTGCAGCTGCTGGTGGTTTTAGTTTGCCAAAGAATTTAGTTGATTCTGATTTGACGGACAGGGAAAAATTCTCATTCAATTTAATAATCTGATGGAAAATACTTTTATGTTCTACCTAAAGTACTGAGATATCCTAGATACAGAAGGAAAGTGAAAATATCGTACCTATCTAATAACATATACAAGAGATATAACCACTCAATTACGACCATGGTAGATGGTATTCTTTAAAGAGGCGGCCCAACCCCATGGGTTGCCAAGGAGTATTTTCTCCTCTAGGGGCCAACTCTTTTGTTAGCTTTTTCTAGGCTAAACCCTTCAGCTTCATGGAACTTACCTTAAGGGAAGTACAACCTATGCTCCTAAACTGATGAATAGAGTGAGGCAGCTAACTGGTGCCTAAGGCTAATATATTTCTTTTGGGTAGGACAGTGGGTATATCTCAAATTACAAGCATACCGGCACCAACCGATAACTAAAAGAGTCAATAAGTTCGCCCATGCTATTATGGGCGCCCTTTGAAATTGATACAAAGGTAGGGCCAGCTGGTTATAAATTGAAACTTCCGCCTCTTCTAAGATCCATCAGTTGTCCGCGTTTCAAAGTTGCCCAGGTCAGAGGGGACAGACCTGCAAAGCTTTAACCCCTACCTTCATCGACCTCTTTAATACCTACAATGGGAATGGACACAGAACCAAGATGCATTGTTGGTGCATGAATCAGCCTCTTTAAGAAAAACGATCTTGAGGTATCTATTTGGGGGCATGGATTTTAAAGAACCTAGCAACATTCCTACTCAAATTTCTCATCTCCCCTTTCAGACTAGGTGGATATTTGGCGCAGAGTATTGATAAACATAAACCGCAATTATATATAACTTATTCGTGTAAGAGTGTGGATGATGTAAAGGGAACATTAGGGGGACTTGGCTATTATGGGCAGTTTTTGGTATTGTTGAAGATTCTGCTTAGGCGAGGGAGAAGCATGCGAAAGGGAAGTAAGTTTTTTGGGGCAGAGGAATAAAGTAAAGGCAAGATAGCGGAGTTCGTAAGTTTCTCGGGGAGACGATAAGAAAACCTCACATCAAGTAGTGAAAGAGGGCTCTCATATTTTCTCTTCTACTATTTGAGTTCAGTGAATAAGAATTTGTCCTTGAGACTGTCAGAAAGTATAAAAATTGGAAGATTAGTTATTTTTCCCCACCACAAAGCCAAAAGAGATCATAAATAAGTTCTCAGATGGATTGGCATTATAGAAATGAGAGTAATTGCTTAACCCTTAGACAATCAGCTCCATCTAAAGCTTCAAATAATTTAGAGGGAGTACACTTTACACTTGGTATTCAGAGCCCCAGTTAATTCCTCTCAAGCCATAGAACCAAGAAGTTGTGATCAAGACTCCGAATTCAAAGGGATGTCCTGTCAATAGTTACATCAGAGTGCTTTGAGTATTCTTCTGGTAGCAGTTAGCAACCATTTCATCTCAAACTAGCTGAAAGTGGTGCAACTATTTTCATGTTAAAAGTCAAAAAATTAACTTCAAATCGTTGAATGCTATTTATATAATTTTTAATTTAATAGTCTTTAATGTTCAACAATTAGTTCAGTTCAAGAGCTTCAGTGAATCTAGAAATACTTTTAATTCATTATTTTCATTTGTGAAATTCATATATGATAAAAATAATAATAATCATAATCAAGAGTCTCCAAAATACCCATCTCGAGACCATCATAGAGGATGGTCAATGAATTACAGAAGGCAGGCCTCAAATGCAACTGAACTGTTTCCCTTGGATCATGTTCCAACATTGTTGAGTCACATATACATAAAATTTCTTCAGAGAGATTTACATTGATATTGTATGCTTGTTCGAGAGCCAGAATAGCCTCCCTTTGACTTCAAATGCATATTTATCAGAAAGGTTCTAATTAGCATCAAGCATCAAAATTTTAGCTCAACTGTTTTGAAGTGGTTAATTTAAGAAAGTATGTTTGTTTTATATTCTGACTTGATCCTCAGCTGTTGAGGTAGAAGAATGTCAGGTTGGTGTCCCAACTATCTCAGAGAAGCAGCAACACTTTGATGTGCCCACTTGTAAAGATTTTGCTAAAAAATCTTGTATATCAGCTGCAAAATCTCAAACCCATCAAGAGCAGCATCAATCCATTCTGCCAAAGGAGCATCCATGTTCCGAAACGTTGGTTTCCTGCACAAGTAAGCAAGACGAGGCGACTGTCATTCAAGAATCGAAGTTAAAAAGCGAAGGCCCTTCTGAAGTTCAGTTGATTGAGCTGAGTGACGACGACGGGCATTTGAGGGTTGAAGATAAAAAGCAGAACTCAGAGAATCCAAATTGCCCCATGTGGTATTGTGCAAGTCCTCAAGGTGAGACGAGGGGACCGTTGCCGTTGTCGTTACTGAAGCAATGGAGGGACAGCAGTGCATTCGAGTTGAAATGTAAAGTTTGGAAGAGTGGTCAGAGCTCAGCAGAGGCTATCCTTTTAAGCGACGCCATCCGGTTGCTTTTTCCTGAATAGACTTTAGGCTGTTAATATATTTTTGTATCAACTAAATGCCGGTATGATGCAAAACTACTGTACAGTTAAATTTTGTATATGGTAGACTGAGTGCAGAAACAGTTACTGTCTAGTGCTTTCCATGGAAGGTCTTTTTAGATAAGAAACAAATGAGAATGAGAAAATCGGTCTGTGTACCAAAGCCTAGGTGGAACCAGACTTTCAGCCATGTTGAATGTGAGGAGATGAAAATGTGTGAAGTGCTAGTCAATTTAATACAAATTTTTCTTCTTTTTAGTTTAACCAAACATTTGAACTTTTTGTACTACAATAAATATGGATGGTAATCATTTAAACCTCCAACTTCAATTCTGGTTGAAGGTGAGTGAAGAGACGGCTACGCCTCTTCAAAAGAGGACGAGGACTAGGGGTGTTCATCGGTTGGTTGGCAAGCTCCAACTGATGCCGACCACCAAGACCACCGACAAGTTGGTTTTCATTGGTCGGAGCTCATTGGTGTTTGAAGACCCTACAACTCCGATCGATCAATTATACCTGCAGTCGATCGGTCGGTTTTGGTCGGTTTAGAGATGAAGAAGTGGGAGAAGAAGAAAAATGTGAAGAAAAATGTGAAACAGAATGAATAACAGAGGTGGGGGGCAAAGAGGAAGGCAACCTTGACCAAAAAGAGGAAAAAAGGGGAGAAGAAAACTAGAGAAGGAAAGAAGAGAGAGGGAAAGAGAAAGAAAGGGAGAGAAGCACCAACCGCCATGGTTTCAAGTTCTAACTTCTACATCTCTTCATCTTTCCAAATTGATTTTCACAAAAAGAAGAAAAGAAAGAAAGTGAGATGGAAAAGAAAAGAGACGAAAACTACGCAGGAAGTTGAGAAGTGAGTGAATAAAATACATGGTGTCACTGCAGTGCATTTAATGATGTCATCTATTAAGTAACATATTCGACTAAGTCAATGGACAACAAGTTGATTCGGACCTATTTAGCAAATCGATCGACCTATGTCAGTTCAGTCGATTTTGGTCGGTCGGATCGAATTTTTGGAATCTTTTACTCACCCACAATCTCTAACGAGCACGAGGCAAATAAAAGTTCAGGATGAAACCTAAGGCAGATCGTCATTAAGAAGATGACGAGTATATTGAAAGATGCACGGTAAGGAACATAAACCTCTAAAAAATATTGAAAGATGCACGTATTACAAAAGGTATTAGTTAAATTACTTATTATTTTAATGAATTTAGCTACCTTATATCACACCATAATCCACAGTATCATTTGATGCAAAACCAAGCTCGAACATTTTATTCTCAAATAACACATTTTATTCTCAAATAACACACTCCAATATCTCATCCGAATACATTTTATTTTCAGAAGGTTCTTGAGAAAGAGTATAAGAGTCCTCGTCATGATTGTAACAATAAATCAGACAATTTTCAACTAAACAATGATCATGGCCAATTTTCAAGCATACAAAGAATATCTAGAACTTCCCAACCCAAAATGCAGTAATCTTCACAATCTACAAATTTGGTGTTCGTCCTATAGTTTCTTCCTCTTCCGCTCTCTGGAGTCATTCTAAGTCTCCAACCATTGAAACTGGCTACAAATTTCTTTATCGCCATGTCTTCCCGATCTCGGTTGTCTGATTAGTTAATGGGTTTTCTCTTGAAAAATTCTTCATGAAAGCCATCTCCTAGCTACTTCATAAAGAGTTTTCCTTTCTTAAAGCTTGTAGTCTTTCCTTCATTTTCTTGCTCTGCTCAAAGTTTGCCTTTCGCTTCAGGGCTTTCTGTGGATAAAAAAAAAAAGAAAAAGAAAAAATCCCATTTGAGATGAAAAAGGGGCAGGTCAAGTTCAAAAGAAACCAAGGAAAACTAGAATGTGGAAGCACAAAACTCACTTCCTGCCTGAAACACCGATCAAGCTTTATTTTCAGATCTGTGCATTCACCAAAGAATTTTGCAACAGGATGGTCTACATGACACTTCTGAAACTGCTCGATAATCTGTACGAATGAGAACAGAGAAACGCAAGGACAAAAATGGTTTTAAAAAACTGGTTTCCAAATATCAAAGTTAACAAAACCACATCATAGCAGAGAATTTTGGGCTTACACACATAGACAAGTGTCGAATTTATTAGTAAACTACAAGAAGATTCTCCTCCCTAGATTTAAAAAGAAAAACGATTTGCTTCTCTCTTTCTATTTAGAAGATGAATTCTAGTTCATACCACAATGCACAACTATAGAGAACATGACTCAACAAATTATAGCTTTAGAGTCATCATTTGATTTTCATCAGTACAAAGCAGAATTAGGTTGTCAATGATTCTACCCTTGATTGAATAGAGATGAGTTGAATTAAAAACTAAGAGAGAACTGGCCAAAAACACTGTTCGTCTGTTTCTATTTTTCTTTTTCTTTCTTTCTTACAAGATAGCAAGAGAAAAATAGAGTTATATAGCCTAACACCCATGAATACATGAAAGATCAAATAATATGTAGGTAACAAATTGGAATTGAAATTGGAAACAAGAAACTTGTTTTGGTTTCCAAATTTTCTATATAATTTTGAGAATGTTTCCAAAAAATGATAAACAAAGAAATGTTTCTTTGCAAAATGCTTAAGTTTCTTAATAAAATTTAGAAATGAGAATGAGAAACGGGCACGAATTCAAAAGCGAAATGAAGGTGAAGTGAACCATCGGGAGGAATTCAATATATACATATATTAAGAAGAGATAGTTTAGAACTCACTTCGGCACACATCGGGTGCTTATGCAAAGTTAGAGGAGGATGCATATTCACTTCTAAAAGCCCTAGCGACCTGCAACAATAACAGTTTCATAAAAAAAGCAAAATCATCTTCAGAAACCACACGATCATTCCATCGATTTCGTGTCAGAGATAAGAAAATGGATACGGATCTAAAATTTCGATTCAAACAATCGACATAGCAGAACCGTTGGCGGTAGTACTATTTCAATTGGAATTTAGGTTTTCGTATCCAAATTCGAAGAATCAGTGCGATTCTTCACTCGAGTAGCTATAAAATATGGTATATGAATTAATTTGATAAAGAAATTAGAGAGATACAAATCAAGAAATCGAACCTGAAAAGCTTCTTGTTTGATATGATTTTCGCTGTAAGCTTAGGCTTCCAGTTTCAAAAATATCTGTTCTATATATACATAGATAAAAACGTAAACGAAATTTTCTTAAAAGATTACTTTAAAATATAAATTATTTAATTATTTTTTTAGTATAACATCAGGAGTAGAATTCGAACCTTAAAAATATGTGATAATTATTGGACTATATTCATTTGCATAAATTATTTTAATTAATTAATAAATATTTTACTAAATAAGTTATACATTTTTCTTCCAACCAAAAATTAAAAGTAATAATAATAATAAAATTTTATTTCAGTCTCTTTATTTTCGTTTTGTCTTTCAAATTGTTTTTTCTTTACCATTTACTTTTAATTTTGATTTATTTTAATTTTTATACTTTTAAAAACCACTTATTTTGATTTGTATATACTTTAAAAAAAATATCATTTTAATTATATTTACAAAATTTTAATATAAATTTTATACGGATGAAAAAATTTTGGGTACAAAATTATGGTTATATTTCATTTCAATAAATGTACTAAGTATAATATTGTATTGAAAATATAATTAGAAAAAATAGACAAAAAATGGTTACTCATAGTTCCTACAATTCTATTTTGGATAGTTTGTTTGGTAGGGTGATTGTATAAATTTTTCGGATATTTGAGTCATGACACTTCTGTAACTTTTTTTCCCGATCTTTCATTGACAATATAAATACATAATATGAAGATAAAAACTAAATAATTAATTGATTTTTGATGTCTCTCTTAGATTATATAAATACGAAGATTAAAAAAAAAGAATTATTTTCTTTGAATGTTAGTTTTAAAATCGTCTCATATCTTCCATAAATAATTTCATGGTTGGGAACAATATTTTGAAAAATAGTTTTTAAAAACTACAACATCTAAGAAATAGTTTGGAAAAAAATATGTTGAAAAAATGGTAATATTTATTTTAAAAAATCCTAAAAGACGTATATATATAAATGTCCTTAACATATTTCCAGAACCCCTAATTCTCTCTCTCCTAGGGTTTAACAGTTCTCTTTCTTCATCTTTCGCCATCGCTGTTCCGACGGCTTCCGGTTTCTCTCCGCCGTAGAAATATGTCATTTTGCCGCCTCCTCCTCCGCTCTCTCCGCCGCTCTTCAGCCTCTCCGTCGCATTCCCGAGCTCTGACCATCGGTCCCCTGAACCACCATCTGCAGGCCCCGATTCCACCGTCCTCTCAAACTGCTGCTCCTATCTCGCTCCTCCCTGCCCGCTCGTTTGCATTTTCATCTGCCGAAGAAGCTGCTGCTGAAAGGCGCCGTAGAAAGCGCCGTCTTCGTATTGAACCCCCTCTCCATGCTCTTCGCCGCGACAACTACCCGCCCCAACAGCGTGATCCCAATGCTCCTCGTCTTCCTGACTCGACATCCTCTCTTGTGGGGCCTCGTCTTAACCTTCACAATCGTGTTCAATCCCTGATTCGTGCCGGTGATCTTGATGCAGCTTCTGCGGTCGCTCGCCACTCTGTATTCTCGAACACGCGGCCGACGGTTTTCACTTGTAATGCCATTATTGCTGCTATGTATCGGGCCAAGAGGTATAGCGATGCGATTGCACTGTTTCAGTTCTTCTTTAACCAGTCAAATATAGTTCCCAATGTTGTGTCGTATAATAATTTGATTAATGCTCATTGCGATGAGGGTCGTGTTGATGTGGGTCTTGAGATTTATCGTCATATTATAGCTAATGCTCCGTTTAGTCCTTCTGCGGTGACATATCGGCATTTAACCAAGGGATTGATTGATTCTGGGAGGATTGGGGAGGCTGTGGATCTTCTGCGGGAAATGTTGAATAAAGGGCATGGGGCTGATTCATTGGTTTATAATAATTTGATTGCCGGGTTTCTAAATTTGGAGAATTTAGAGAAGGCGAATGAATTGTTTGATGAGTTGAAGGAGAGGTGTTTGGTGTATGACGGAGTTGTGAATGCGACGTTCATGGACTGGTTTTTTAATAGGGGGCAAGAGAAGGAGGCCATGGAATCGTACAAGTCATTGCTTGATAGGCAATTCAAGATGATTCCAGCAACTTGCAATGTGCTGTTGGAAGTTTTGCTTAAGCATGGGAAGAAAACGGAGGCTTGGACCTTGTTTGATCAGATGTTGGATAACCACACTCCTCCGAACTTCCAAGCAGTTAATTCAGATACGTTTAACATAATGGTCAATGAGTGCTTTAATCTTGGCAAGTTCTCAGAGGCAATAGAGACTTTCCGGAAGGTGGGAACTCAGCCAAAGTCAAGGCCTTTTGCTATGGATGTTGCAGGGTATAATAATATCATTGCAAGGTTTTGTGAGAAGGGAATGATGGCAGATGCAGAGACTTACTTTGCTGAACTTTGCTCAAAGTCTTTGTCCCCAGATGTCACAACTCATAGGACATTGATTGATGCTTATTTAAAGGTTGAACAGATTGATGATGTATTGAGAGTTTTTAACAGAATGGTTGAGGTTGGTTTGAGAGTTGTTGCTAGTTTCGGAAACAGGGTATTTGGTGAACTAATCAAGAACGGCAAGGCAGTTGACTGTGCTCAGATTTTAACAAAAATGGGAGAGAGGGATCCTAAACCAGATCCCACGTGCTATGATGTAGTGATTAGAGGGCTATGTAATGAAGGTGCACTGGACGCGAGCCGAGAGTTGCTTGACCAGATAATGAGGTATGGTATTGGGCTCACTCCCACACTTCAGGAATTTGTTAAAGAGGTATTTGTAAAGGCTGGTCTGAGTGAAGAGATCGAAAGACTGCTAAACATGAATAGATGGGGACATGCTCCTTATCGCCCGCCCTCCAGACCCCCAAGAATTCCCCAATCACAGGTGCCACCTCAAATGGGACCGCCTCGTCAGCCACCTCACGGGACCCCTCAGATGGCAGAACCACATTGGCGACCTCCCATAAACCCTCAGGTGGGAGGAAATTATGCTCCTTCATCACATCAAATTACAGGTCCTAATTATTTTCAATCAGGAACAATGACAAGACCACAGCAGCCATATTCACATCCACCCCCAATGGAAGAACAGCATCAGTCACCATCACAACCCCCGCAAATGGCACGGCAGGGGGTAGCTTGATTCTTAGATGCATAAGTTATTGGAGGATGCTATTGTCAAATTTTGACTTCGGATCGACAGGCAATACGAGATCAGTTACATACCACCTCTCTGTGCTACTTGTTCCTTGTGGCAGTTCATCTCATGTCTTTCATTCAAGCTTTCCTGTTAGTACAAGGATTTGGTTATGTCCATGTTGTCTGTCTTATTAGATATTATGTATTTACCTGATATGTCAAGGTGTTACACTATTTAAAGTCACAAATTTATTAATAATATTTTGGTTCACCAGAACTTGAAATGTCATTATAAATATGTAAAAATGGAGTATGATCTGAATGCAGGGCATAATATCTACATGCTGTAGGTACAATATGGGAGAATCTAAGAACACATTCTGTACCATTTATTTCTGCTTCAAATTGTATCAACAAATTTGTCATTCTTCTTCATGCTTATGTGATTTTCACACTCGTGGACAATACACATTATTTTAGGAGAGAATCAGACGTACATCCATGCCAGTTTCTATGCTTTTTATTGAAAAGAAAGAGAACCTTGTTTAAACTTCAACATGTAATCATGGAAAATAGTACTATTTTCACATAAGGAATAAAACAGATTAGATATTAAATCCTCCATTGGAGTATCATTGAATCAAGCCCCATGACTAAAGACATGTTTGGGAGCGATGCCAAAATTATTTTTGTCATTTTCTATAACTGTTTGAATATCATTGTCAAACATTACAACTATAAATTGGAACTGATTTTAGCGAGTGACAAATGATTTTGGCCAAAATCACTCCCGAACACCCCGTAATTCCTTGTAAATGCAAATCTCAAACAAGAGAATGAAGAATTCAAATGGAGCAAATGGGGCAACAAATAAAATAATATTACTACACTAGATTCTTTCCTTCTTCGAAGGATTCAGTTGCTGCAAACGTTCCTCTCAAGGAACTCAAATCTCTCAACAAAATTCTATACAATTGAACCAAAACTGAATCATTCTTCCACCAATGTAGTTGGGCAACTAGAACAAAATGTGCCAACCAAAGCCTAGGAACTTGGTTAATCCATCCCCCTCCCAAAAAAAAATAAATAAAGGAAATAAAGAAGAAAAATAGATGTGTCTACTTTTAACTAGAATGTTCAAATTTTCAATACTGATGAGGTCAGGTTAAGTAAGGGCCCCAGGGCAGATGGAGAAAACTTCCGAGCAAAGAGGTAACAAACTGAAGTCAATTCTGAATTGTATAGGCACTGTGTCCCATTCTTTCTTATAGACTGTAAAAAACTTTCAGTGATGTTAGCTGGTCCATACATTGCAGGATGCGGGCCTCCCAGCGACCAATCGACCCAGGTCACCGTTCGATTTGAATTAAGAGAACCGTGAAACATGTTCAAGTAAGTAGGGATATAATGCTCATCTGGGTAGCAAGCAGGCTTACAGAACTTCTTAAACAGAGTGTAGTATTTGGTGTCTGCAACAATATAAACAGCCAGAGCACGGCTGATTTCAAACCACTGGGACCCTTTTCGCCAATGCTGGAGCTTAATATCTGGAAGCATTTTGCGACTATAGCGACCGCGCCCGTATCGGGTGGGTTCATCATATGATTCTACAAAACTGTGGGCAGAATTTATTAGATACTTGTAGACTGTTTGAAAGTTGTACACTGGGATACAGCTCTCGGAAAGCAAAACAAAACGCTCATTTGAAAAGTCGAGCAGAGCATTTGCTAGAAGGCGCCTCTCAGCATCAGCAAGCGATACCGTGCCCCAAGAAACATGCTGCAAAAAATGGAAGGACATTGTTCTTTAAAGAAAACAAGCCATTTGATGGGGATAATGCAAACAAACGGATGAATGATGATGCTCATTGCTTAGAGAATTTGGAAGCAATTCTGAATTTATGATTCTAGATTGGTAAAATACAGTTAAGTAATCAAAGCCACCGTAAGAAAAGCAGATTCCAAATAAAATTCAGAAGACTCTTACAAGTATGATTACTACTTGACAACTGACGTGGTAGAAAGGCAATATCCAGTGTAATCACTCACAGTTCAAATTTCAACAGCTTCAAAGAACCAGTGTTCTAAACATATGATTCTCGAGCCATTATTTTAAAAGCTTCAATGCTTTTGCACGTATGGCTTCCAACAGATGCAAGAGGACATACATATTTCACAGGTTCGTATTCGGTATGATCAAAGTCATTCTATTAATTAGTATCCAGTGTTTACTTCCAATTTATCATCTAAAGTAAATGAACAGGATTTACATTTTACACAAAGGCATCGCAGAGATGAGGTAGTGAAACAACTTAAGGTACTTATTTAGATGTCTTTTATTTACCATACCATCATTGCCTAGTTGCTCCATTTAAGTTACTCAACTAGTAAATCTAGGATGGAAATTTCCTACTTCTGTAAAAGCATGGTACAAACTGCAGATTTTACCTCAACAATTGTTCAGAAGGGTTTTCTTCCAGAGTCTACAGTAGTTTGACAAAGCAGACAAAAAAAATCATCTCATTTTATTTTTATACATGCTAGCATCAAAATCCTTCAATCTCAAGTTTATTCATGCATATGCAACCTTTTCCATATCAGGGTTAGGATAAATCATTTTACCCTGCAAGGTTTAATGTTGTAAAACTCAGTAAGATTCAGAAACCATGATTCAAACTCATGAACATGCATTGGTGTTTGCTATAATTTCAGAATGAGGTATCTAATCAGTTGTCTATTGTTACGGCATACTTTTCAGACATTAATTATACTATCACATGGCAGCAACAAAATGGAATGCCATAGTATCAAAATAGTAAACAACAGATTGAGAAAATAAAAAGGAATACCTGGCTGGGGATTTGCCGTCTGTAGAAAACAGAGCTGCTGGACACATTCAGCTCATAACCTGGAAGGGCATGAACATAAATAGAAAACAGCTTCCCATGGCCAGCAAAAAACCTCTCCCATAATGGCAGCAGGGGCAGTGGGCCTCTGGTCAAGAACATGAAGGCCACTTTTGGCACCCGTTTGAAGGGATAATAATTCTCTCTCTTTGACTCCATTGAAGCTCTCCAGAAGAGCTCATCGTCAGACATGGCATGAGTCAGATTTTCTGGATGGATGAACGTTTGGAAGCTTGAACAATCCCTTTTCTCGCACATGTCTGAACCAGAGCAATTTTCCTCCGCCAGACTGTTGGGAACCGAAAAATGATTGATAAGAGAGTAGAGCTCAGACTGTGAGGTGAAGTATCTGCTAATGTGGGAAGTTGTTGCTAATCCAATGACAACCCCAGCCACAAAAACAACCAAAAACGACAGAGTCTGCATCAGTTTCAGCAAACCAAGGTGCTTCTCTCCTTCCTCCTTCTCTACCCTATTCCGAGCCATTGCTGCTGAGGCTCCAAAATAAAGAAAACAAGCACAGATTTTTTCAGTTTTCCCAGTTTTGATCCTCTCAATTCCTACTCAACTGCACAACAAACACAGAGGGCACGAGTTAAATACCCACAAAATCACCGCCCAACACCCAGTTTCTTGGATTGATCACTGGTGAACGAACTGTGCAAAAATCTGCCACAGTTCAGGCATTCGAAGGAAACCCAAGTTGAAGAAACGATGGAAGAATCGTAATGTTAAATCGTTATGATCAGAGAGGAGAATTTTGCCGACGTCCCCAAAATAACAAACAGCGTGACTCAATCGGAAAAACCTCGAGAAAAAATGGGTTTCAATCTCCGGCAAAGGATCGAAGAGACAGCGATCTCAAAACGATGAACAGACGGAAAGGGAGGGAAGAGGAGGAATCGCATTTGAAAGAGATGGGAAACTCAAATTCGCATCGCTATCGAAAGAGAGAGAGAATTAAAGTGGAATTCGGATGGGTGGGGTTGGTGGGCTCACAGTGATTGGGGAAGAAACCAAATGAACATTGAAAATCATAAATGGAAAGTGAGATTTTGGACCCAGAAATCGATCGACACGTACAGAAACGGGTTCAAAATTTTTTAATTTCTAGCAGAATTTTTATGTACAATATCGTATGATATTAGGAATAAAAAAATATTGTGATGTGCGAGACGAAACCGCTATTTTCGGCGAGTGGAGCCGAATCCGATGGCGCCTCTTTCCATATGAGAAACCAAAACACATGATATAGGCCAAGATTACATATCAAAATACTAGGTTTTTTTTTCTTTATAATAAAAATTCAAACTCGGTTATGTCAATTACTGTTGAATTAAACTCATGTTATATATATAAAATACTAGATCTTTTTTATGTTCAGTTTTTTATATATGGAGAATGTGACAGAGTTATTTGTTAATTTAAATATTTATTACGAATTTCTTATTTTTTTAAATTTTCTAAAAATATTCATTAACACCAATATTTATGTCGATATGGGCATTTAAAACAAAACTTTGATATATTAAGAGGAATTCAATGTTAATAATTTTCTAAAATAATACAACACGCACCGTAGGCCATCCTCGGCCTTCTTCGTTTTTGATGAAAAAGAAATCCAATCTCGATCTCCGAAAGCGTTTTCCTTCCCCTCCCTTCGTCGAGCCTTTCCTTTAATGGTTGGGGGAAGCATTTCCTTATCTGAACTTGGCGGGCATTCTTTCTAGCCTTATTCAAACAAGTGTCTTTATCTACTACTCAAAATGGTAATAATTTTAGTAAATTAACCATTTTATCTATTTAGTCTATGATTTTTTTCTTTTGTATGAGTTTGATATGACTTTTGATGGGTGGAAGTGATTTTAGCCCACTATAAGCACTTCTTAATCATCTTTTTTAATAATATTTGGTTAGGTAATTGAGAGGGACTTTGGAAATTCTAGAACACTAAATAAATACTTAAGTGCTTGTAGAGTGAGTTTAAAATAGGTTTTGAAATTTCAACTTGCACAGTATTAACCAGTTAATACATATATTATCAACCAAAATATCATAAATTCAAATGCTTACTTAGTCACTCTACGACTAATTTATAATTATAGAGTTCAAATAATTATTTTGTAAATTCTAATAATCAGTGCTTATAGTAGAAGGACAGCAAATCTGAGTTAAAACGTATGATGACAGCCTGTCCATTAATTATTTTCTTTGCATGTAGTTGGCTTAATTAAGAAACTAAGTTAGAATTGTTCAACCTTTTTTAAAATATAGTTTCCAGAAAAAAAAAAATAGTTAAGATGTAACATATAGTTTTAAATTTTGAGAAGGAAATTCAATGGAGCACGTCAATTTAATAATTCTGTTTTTCTTTTTTTCTTTTTTTTTAACGAATTTTGATATAAAAATTAAAAAATATTTCTTTTTTCACAAAAATAATTATAATCAATGGTCAAACATTGGACCATGGACTTAACTATTGAAACTTTGGGCCAACCTGACTTTGGCCCAACTTAATGATTGAGACTACTTCTTATGCAATAATATATCTGTCAAATTGCATCAAATCGGTTGCAGTTGAGTAAAGACGTTCTATGCCATGTTGATGCATATACAGCTCTATACGTTGTAGGCACGTGGTATCGTTTGAGTGAACAAGTAAAATTTACCTCTATTTTTTTCCAATTACTCGATAATAAGAGTAATATGAGGAGTTCATTGAAGGTACTAATAGAGACTAATAATTTAAAAAGTATTCTTCTCGTTATTGTGTTTTCAACTACGTTTGATTTTGTTCTAAATTTTTATAAATAAGTTTGAATGGTTAGTTCATTGACAGATTTGTTAAACTTTTCCCGAAAACATGTCGGGCTGACGTGACAAATATGAATACAAGATTGTCACTTTAGATCATAGGTGGATAAAACATACGTTACACTGATATTTTTTTTCAAATAACATCACAAAATGATATAAGATCGCAACATTTACCTTCCAATTGCACTCTACAATGACTACATAATACCACAATCGTCGGTCTTGATTTCAAATAATAGTTTTTAAGCAATTGGAAGCTATTATTTTAATAACCACAGAAAATTCCAAACTAAGTTTGGCTTGAACTAATGAAACAATATATCAATTTTCTTAATAGAATTCTAATCAAAATGTAATGATCCTAATTTGAAACATGATTTTTGGCGAAGAAACTGACAAACTGTTCAATCATTTGTCATTTTATTTATTTATTTATTTATGGACAGTTCCATCCCTGGATATGATGAATCACGTGGCACTCAGTCCCAAGTCTTTGGCATATTTTTCCTTTTTAAATTCATATTTTTTTGAGACATTAAATTCAGAGATATATATGTATTATTCGTAGTCAATATAATAAATACAATAATTACAATAATACATGGGGCGGCTTGAATCGGATAAGTCCTCTGGCGGTGGGTATTTGGAAACGCCTATGGGAGACGCCACATTTATTCAAAATTAAATAAAAGTGTCACGCAATTAGAAGCAATCACGTCGACTATGCATATTTAAATTATCTAAATTTTGATTAGTTTTATATTTTAAAAATAGTTGAATTATAAATCTTAGTCTATATATTAGAAATATTGTGGAGTGGTAAATCGGAATATAACTTAATTATTTAAAATATTATATGTCTGAAAATTTTGGTGAAACTTTAACTCCATGTCGTTGAACTTTTATATATACACATTGAATTAAAAAAAATAAAGGACGTACCCGAGATAAATTAAAAATAAAATACAACTTTTTAATACAAAATAATAAAGGCATATACTCCTTTTTAAGTAGGTATTTTGTTAGTTATTAGTAGATTGATGAGACAATTTGATGAAATAATAATTGTTAAGGCCTATTTAAATCTAAAGTTTATTGGATAAAATTAAAGATTTAAAGTTAAAATTGATCGCCAGCTTAAAATATGTATGGGTAAAAATGGTACTTAAAATACTTCGATATTATTTCATATCTCAAGATTTTGAATGGAAGGGGCCAAAAACACTTCAAATTTGTTTTTGCCTATGGAGCTAAATATCATGAACAAAAATGTTTTTGAACAATTAATGATGCTTTTTATTTAAAAAAAAAAGAAATATATATATATTTTTTTAGTTCACTTGAGTAGTTGCTTCGATTTTAAAAAATCCGATCCACCTACTCGTCGTTCTATATTTACAATATACTACTTTTAATGAATTTTGTTTCTTAAAACACCACATCTTCAAAAGACTAAATTTTTAAGCAGGAAAGTAGGTATATTTATTTATTAAAGTTGAAAGAATAAATCCTAAATTTCCTTATATGATAATAACATATATATATAAATAAATTGAATGCAATGGACGAAAGTAAGGAGGAAGAATGGATAAAACCGGGTCCCAAGTCTCCATACCATTACACCATGTTGCATTTGCACACGTCGTTTTAATATTCAATTATAAAAATAAATTTTCTCTAATTTGAAGGTTCTTTATTTTACTAAATATATTAATAAAAATATTATTTGCTAAAAATTTGACAGTTATTTATTATTTTTATTAATTATATTAATAAAAAATCTCATTTAAAATATTTATTTTTTAAATTTATTAAAAAATTAGTGGTGGGTATTTAAGTATTATTCTCGTTTAATTCGACTGTCCATATTTAGGAAGAATTTTGTTTCTTTTTTTAGGGGTGGGATGAAGATTTGAACTCATCACATTTTTATCATAAATAAATGATTTAACCAATTTAAATAAGTTCAAGTTGGTAATGATAAAGCTAAATTGCCACTTCAACATAAATATCATGACAAAAAATATATGTGTTTTTTTAAAAGCTAATTATTATATAATAACTACTACATTAATATTTTGTCACCTATCTTTTCAGTTATTTTCTTAGAACTGTTAATTTCTTAACTCAGTGATTTTTAAAACATATTTTAAAAGTTTGGGGTAAAACATAAGTTTAAAATCCAAAGAAATTTTAAATGCTAATCATTCAAATTATTATTATTATTTTTTTTAGTATAATTGGGAGGAAATTCAAACTCACAACCTCTTGGTTGGAGGTACATGCCAATTATCGAGCTATGCTCGTTTTGCCTAATCATTCAAATTATTACTTACTAAATATAGCAACAAGATTATGATTTCGCATAAGAAAATATGATAAAGTTTTTAAATATGATAAAGTTACTAAATTTAGATTATGATTTCCCACACTTCAAATTTATTGTCATGTTTGTTTGTCGCCATGTATGTCTAACTATTTCTGAAAAAGCGTA